TGCCGATGAAAATCAGTTTTTAAACGCTTTATATTAGCTTCACTTGTAACTATATATGTATATATGTCCACAAATCTAGGAAGTCGATTTTAACCTACTTCCCACCGATGAGCTGAAATTTTGAACACACTGGTGCTAGTGACAAACAATCTAGCACCTTTTTTTCTTTCCAACCCCTTATTTAGGTATCAAATGAAGGGGCTTGACGTGAAGAAAACGATAAGCTGGGTGACGTCATATTAAAACCAATATGTCGGCCGCCCCAATATGGCGGATTACCAATTTTTTTACAACCATCTTGACTTGGGTCTCAAATAGAAGGGTTTGACGAGTAAAAAATGATAAGATAAGTGACGTCATACTAAATCCAATATGGCGGCCGCCCCAAGATGCCAAATTACCCATTTCTTTACAACCCCCTTGACATGGGTATCAAATAAAAGGGTTTTTGAAGCAGAAAAAGAAACGTCATACTAAATTAAATATGGCCGCCGCCCCAAGATGGCGGATTTCCAATTTTTTTTACAACCATCTTGACTTGGGTCTCAAATAGAAGGGTTTGACGAGTAAAAAATGATAAGATAAGTGACGTCATACTAAATCCAATATGGCGGCCGCCCCAAGATGCCAAATTACCCATTTCTTTACAACCCCCTTGACATGGGTATCAAATAAAAGGGTTTTTGAAGCAGAAAAAGAAACGTCATACTAAATCAAATATGGCGGCCGCCACAAGTTGGCGGATTACCTATTTTTTTACAACCATCTTGACTTGGGTCTCAAATGAAAGGGTTTGACGAGTAAAAAATGATAAGATAAGTGACGTCATACTAAATCCAATATGGCGGCCGCTCTAAGATGCCAAATTACCTATTTCCTTACAACCCCCTTGACATGGGTATCAAATAAAAGGGTTTTTAAAGCTGGAAAAGTGACGTCATAGTAAATCAAATATGGCCGCCGCCCCAAGATGCGGATTACCTGTTTCTTCACAACCCCGTTAACATGGGTATATATCAAATGAAAGGGTTTTCCAAGCAGAATAAGTGATATCAAATTAAATTCAAGATGGTGAATTGCTTATTTCTTCGCAACCCCCCCAAGGGTTTGACGAGTATAAAACGTGAAGGTGAGTGACGTCATACTAAATCCAATATGGCGGCAAATTACCTGTTTTTTACCTTGTGCGTTAAAGTATGTTTTGACAATTGACAGTTCCGATCTTGGGCGAGCCACTTATAATAAATATTATAAGTAGTGTAAAATCTTTTGGCAATTAACTAACTATATTTATAAAACAATTTAACCCTCATATAATATTTACAGTATTTTTTAGTAAATATTTATAAATTGTATTGTTGCTATACTTAGTGATCTCTCGCCTTAAGATTATCTTTTGCTTATTGTTAGAATATTACATTATTTATAATGTTAGTTAATGATGGTATTAAGCTGAGAATATATAAGCATAATAACAATTGAGGCAAAGAACTAGAATTACCTTTGTTAGAATTAATTAAGGAAATAATAACCATAACACACAACATCTTTCAAACTTTTAATTAACCGATATTAAAAAAATATTTTTATAAGATCGAATATTTTCCAATCAAAGTAATTTTTGCTTATTAAACAGTTAGATGGCGACGATTATTTTTGTTTATTTTTTCAAAGCCAAAACATCCTATGTACTACATAATTATTATGGAAAAACAATATCACTGTATACTGTGTACATACAATTTTCTTGCGTTTTGTTGCTTTTTGCGTTAAAAAATTTGTACGTGATGTTATTAATAATAAATAATAATAATAATTTTGAACTTGAAAAACAAGGTCATCGATTGGACCAATCAATTAAAGTGCAAACGAATAAAATCGCAAAAAAATTATCAGACGCAAATTATGCAATTTTTCGAATTTGATAGTCCAGACGCACACGCATTATCCAGACATGCAGAGTGTTAAATATTTTATTTACCTTTCACCTAATAATAAAACAGTATTAGGTTACATAAATAGGTTAAACAATATACTAATTATTACATACATTGTAAAACTATTTAAAAATCAATAATAATTATTATCAAGGCATTGTTTAACCTAATAGGCTTGTTATCGATTTATAAATTAAATATTAATTACCCTACTAATTTGAGATACTTAATCAACTTGGATGATAATTTAAAGTCTAGATTAAAGCAAAATCATTTTATGCAAACTCTACTAAACATACATTTTACCGGACAGTACCGTACGCAGAAAATACCCGATATTAAATTCGTTTAAATAATAATAATACAACGGTCATTTAATAAGGGTTTATAAGACATGAGCATAAGAGTTATGACATAATGAGTGCGAGTGTCTTAATAGCCTATTAAATGGGAGTTGCATGCACTATTTTTTTACATCTATCATAATAAAGTAGAACATTAATTAATTAATTAATTCATAAATATTAGATCTGTAAGACGTTCAATGCAATAGTTGATATTGAATGAATATTGCTGTGTATCGCATTACTACTGGTTAATTTTGCCGTGTATTATATCATTTCTATTGGTTAAAAATCTGTATCGCAGTGGCTGCTGGTGGATAAATTTAAATTGTCTATTTAATGTCCTTATAAACTATTATAAATATGGTGTGGGTCCCCATGTCTAATAACTGAGATAATGGTATGTGAAAAGCCTCGACAATATATTTTATCAAATGTCATATTTTCTAAATACGTAAAAATATATGTATGAAAAAAAATAATATTCTACTGAAATATTTACTATAGTAAAAACTATGGTTTGTAATGAATGGCTGAATTTAAGGTGTATTAAAAAATATTGCACATTTGAATTTGTATTCAAAAAATATTGGGCATTTTTTAATTACAAAAATGTCCGGGTTGGTTTACAATTTAACGTCATTTAATAAGGGCTTATAAGACATGAGCATGAGTATTATGACATAATGAGTTCAAGTGTTTTAATAGCCTATTAAATGGCACTATTTTTTCAACGACTATCATAAGAAAGTAATAAATTAATTAATTAATTAATTAATTTATAAATATTAGATCTTTATAAGACGTTTAAGGCAATATTTGATATTGAAAGAATATAACTGTGTATCCAATTTCTGTTGGTTAAAATCTGTATCGTAATGAACAATTTGTATCATAATGGATTTTATTATAGTACAGATACGAATTAAAGTATGGGAGTAGAGAAATATATGTATGAAAAAAAATAATATTCCACTGAAATATTTACTATAGTAAAAACTATGGTTTGTAATGAATGGCTGAATTTAAGGTGTATTCAAAAATTTTGCACATTTGAATTTGTATTCAAAAAAATATTGGGCATTTTTTAAATACAAAAATGTCCGGGTTGGTTTACAATTTTAGAAAAAACGTCATTTAATAAGGGCTTATAAGACATGAGCATGAGTATTATAACATAATGAGTTTGAGTGTTTTAATAGCCTATTAAATGGCACTATTTTTTCAACGACCATCATAATAAAGTAGAAAATTAATTAATTAATTACTTAATTGATAAATATTAGATATGTATAAGACGTTTAAGGCAATAGTTGATATTGAAAGAATATTACTGTGTGCACCATTTCTGTTGGTTACAAATCTGTATCGTAATGAACAATTTGTATCATAATGGATTTCATTATAGTACAGATACGAATTAAAGTATAGGAGAAGAAAATGATTTTTAATTATTAATAAATTTTAACATGTAAAGATTATTTTGACTAATTTACATATTTCAAGTAAAAAATAAAACGATCCAAAAAAGTATTAAAATAATTACATTTTATAAAATATCATATTTTTTAAATGCGTAAAAATATATGGAGAAATTAAAGTCTGCTGTAATATTTACTGTAGTAAAAACTATGGTTTGTAATGAATTTAAAAATTATTAGACATTTGAATTTGTGATGTATTAAAAAAAATATTGGGCATTTTTAAAATACAAAAATGTCTGGATTGGTTTAGAATTTTAATAAAAGTTAAGTAAAGTAAAAATGTCAGGTAAGAGAAAAGGTATACCATAGAAAAAACGTCATTTAATGGGCTTATAAGACATGAGCATGAGAATTATGACATAATGAGTTCGAGTGTTTTAATAGCCTATTAAATGGCACTATTTTTTCAACGACTATCATAATAAAGTAGAAAATTAATTAATTAATTACTTAATTGAAAAATATTAGATCTGTATAAGACGTTTAAGGCAGTAGTTGATACTGAAAGAATATTACTGTGTATCCAATTTCTGTTGGTTAAAAATCTGTATCGTAATGAACAATTTGTATAATAATGGATTTCATTATAGTACAGATTCGAATTAAAGTATGGGAGTAGAAAATTATTTTTAATTATAAATAATTTGTAAGATTATTTTGACTAATTTACATATTTCAAGTAAAAAATAAAACGATCCAAAAAAGTATTAAAATAATTACATTTCATAAAATATCATATTTTTTAAATACGTAAAAATATATGGAGAAATTAAATTCTGCTGAAATATTTACTGTAGAAAAAACTATCGTTTGTAATGAATTTAAAAAATATTAGACATTTGAATTTGCGATGTATTACAAAAAATATTGGGCATTTTTAAAATAGAGAAATGTCCGGGTTGGTTTAGAATTTGAATAAAAGTTAAGTAAAGTAAAAATGTGAGGTATAGCATAGAAAAAAGGTTGAAGATTTTTTAAATGAATGAATTGCGTATTAGTGTTGTGTAAGGATGGAAGAGTGCAATCCATGGAGAGATGGAAGAAAAGAAGTAGGTAGTAGGTGTAATTTGAGTGAGTGATTGACGAGGGCGTCGTCGAAAAAATCGTCTTCAGACCAATCTGCAGATTAGTCAGGGCACCCTGTAGGTAGAGGGGATCTGTCATTGGTTGCGCATCACAACACCAGCACCAGCACCAGCTCTGTCAAGTGTGCCTGAGTGGAATACGTCAGTCAAGTCAAAGCGACCGAAATCGGTAATAAAGAGGGTAGCAGAGTGCTGCTGGCAACAGTGACCAGTCTAAGTGCGCTTGCTACGGACATGCTTACGCTAGTCGCGTTGTGTGTTGCTCTGCTGCTCCTGCTGTGGTGGTTCTGCACTGCCACTAGCAGCCGTCAGAACAAATCCAAGTTGTCTTCGACAATAAACGGTCCTAAGCCCTGGCCCGTGATCGGCTCCCTGCATTTGCTCGGCACCCATGAGACCCCGTTCCAGGCCTTTACGGCCCTCAGCAAACTCTACGGTGACATCTTCAGCATCAATTTAGGATCGTCGCGCTGTGTCGTTGTCAACAACCTTGATCTTATTAGGGAAGTGCTCATCACCAAAGGCAGTGACTTTGGCGGAAGGCCCGATTTTCTGCGCTTCCACAAACTGTTCGGAGGAGACAGAAACAACTGTAAGTACCCTATCAATTTCGTACCATAAAAAATACTTCGAATAATTAACCCGGAAGAAAAGGTTCGCGTGGTATTCCATCATCGGCATCTCCTCGTTATAATTACTTCGGACACTCCGTCCTTAAAAAAAACACACACTCGTGTGTGTACTTATCCGCGATCAGTATATAATCGATAATTACCGTAAAACAGATAGTCCCGTTAAGTTAACTAACATTCCTTGTAAAAAGTTTTGCAAAAGAAAATGTATACCGGTATCTTATATACATACATTCCTTAGAGAACGTTTCAGTTTAAGAGGTCACAATGATTTTTTTCTTCTTCCTACGTTTCGTTGAAAACTAGCTGCATCAGAATTTACTTTCTATCCACTGTTTGTTGTTGCTACTTAACTTACCTCTCGCGTCAATTCATAACGTTGTCTCGCTACTCGCTACTATACTCGAACACCGTGAACTTGAACTTGAGATTCTAATGAAACTGAATCTGATCAAAATACCTACAGAGGAAATTTTAACATTTTAACGAGTAACGACTTAGCCTACATAGCCTTAATTCCTTTACTATACTAATTTTTATGTAAACGTAACTAAACTGTGGCATATTTAATTAAATTCCGAGAAACGTTTTTGTTTTTTTATTTTGTCATGATTTTGTCGGAGTTTTTATTAAAAGTCACATTAGTTTATTTTATGCTTATTTACATAAGAGGTATAAAACCGCTGCTTTTTTAACAATAAAAAATGCATTATCTTGCATAATTTTTTTGTCATAAAATTTCGAGTGTGTTAATTAAAAAGCAGTTTATTTCAAGGCAAATTAAAGGACAATCCTAATTTATTTTAAAAAAATCATTTAAAATTCAAAAAATGTTAATCAATTAAATAGTATTTATTTATTTAAATAGTGTAGGTAAATGTATCAAAACATACTCAGAATATTTTGTTAAATACCGTTAACGCAACCTTGGCCTCTATCACGTAAATATCTTCATATTTAAAACAATTTAACTATTTAATTAAAATAACTTTCCTTCTAACCAAAATTTTAAGAAGTGGAACATTAAAAGTTGGCACATTTTTCTAAAAAAAATGTATTGGATACGAATATAAATATTTGTAGTACGGTGGTAGTATACTATAGTATGTATACATATTTATAAATATGTATGTAATTTTTGTCGTGAATATTTATTCAGCATTAAGCCACCTTCATACTAAACACCTCCTCCACCTAAATTGAAAATGTAGTTTTGCAAATTTCGGCATATTTTAGTAGTTGTGAATAATGTGGGGTGTAATGAAGGAAGTAGGATAAATGAATAATAAACAAATGGTGGTGTTAATGGAGTGAATTATGATTATTACCCGGTTGTGTTAGTATGAAGGCAGCATAATGTAGCATAGTGAATAGAAGGGAGGAGAGGTAAGGTAAGGCACGCGCCTCAATGAGTGAGCATCTGTTGTGTTGTTTCGCGAACTATTCTGACTGAGTGGACGCGTGCCGAGCATGATAGACGAGCCGCGATTCGGCCTTGAGACTTTTGCCCTCTAACGTTTATATATGTTTCGTTTTTCAGCTCTTGCCCTTTGCGACTGGTCAGCTCTGCAGAAAACAAGAAGGAGCATCGCCAGGACCTATTGTTCGCCACGATTCACCTCTCTGCAATACGACACCGTATCGCAAGTGGGCATCGACGAAATGAACGTTTTCATTAAAGAACTACAAAAACTACCCACAGAACAACCGTGCGACATCAAGCCTGTAGTACTGGCGGCTTGTGCGAACATGTTCACGCAATACATGTGCTCGACAAGCTTCTCCTATGATGACAGGGAGTTCCAAAAAGCTGTACGATTCTTCGACGAAATATTTTGGGAGATAAACCAGGGCTACGCCGTCGATTTTCTGCCGTGGCTTTTACCAATTTACAAAGGCCACATGGAAAAAATATCCAACTGGGCCAAAGAGATCCGTCAATTTATCCTATCGAGAATCATCGATAAACATCGTTCTACCTTGGACTACAACAGCCCGCCAAGAGACTTTACAGACGCCCTCCTAATGCATCTGGAAGAAGACCCGAACATGAACTGGGAACACATCATTTTCGAGTTGGAAGACTTTATCGGTGGTCATTCCGCCATAGGAAACCTAGTTATGGTTACTTTGGCCTCCATAGTCAACCACCCTGAAGTGGGAAACCGCATTCAAAAAGAAATTGACACCGTCACCCGTGGAACTAGACTGCCGAATCTCTTCGATAAAGCCGCGATGCCCTACACTGAAGCCACAATCTGGGAAACATTGCGTAAGGCTTCCTCCCCGATAGTGCCCCATGTGGCTTCGTGCGACACCGAGATAGACGGCTTCACAGTGGAAAAAGGCACGTTGATCTTCATCAACAACTACGAGTTGAATTTGGGCGAGCAATATTGGGTCGATCCCGAAGAGTTCAGGCCCGAAAGGTTTCTAACGGCATCTGGCAACGTGGTTAAACCCGCTCACTTCATACCCTTCAGCACTGGCAAAAGGACGTGCATCGGCCAAAGGCTCGTACAATGTTTTAGCTTTCTAATAGTGACCACTTTGCTTCAGCAATACAATCTTGCCACCAACGGCGTGGCTAAGACCAAGCCCGGTTGTGTGGCAGTACCTCCTGACTGCTTTAAGTTCATCCTAACACCGCGAACGAAAGATGATCATTAAGTGATCAATTTTTTGCACCAAAATGCACCTGATGAGTTTGTAGCTTTTAATCATTTAATTCTTTTTCCGAATCTTATACTTAGAATTGGTGCTAAGCTTAAGTTTTTTGGTCTTGAGAATTAATCTTAATTGATGACTTTGGTCTGAGTGTTCAACCCAACTAGCATCAATAATGGTAACAGGTTTTACGGCTACATATGTACTGACAATGAGATACGATACGATATGATTTTTTTTACATATTTTTAATTGCGTATTGTTATTTTAACATTTTCCATAAATGTTTTGAATAAAATATGGTTTTTGTTAATTTTTTTTGATTGTTGCATCCCTTTTTTATACAGGGTGTTCGAAAACGGTTGGGCCGAATTTTAAAGGCTGATAGGCCATACTGGGACAAACATTTTGATGTGGCGAACATGTGTCTGGAAACCTCTACTGAGCTACAGACGTAAAGTATGGTAAGTTTTAAAGGTTAGGAACCTAACCTCAATTATACTGTCAGTAACAAATACCTAACCTTAATTATAGTAAGAGACCTCAATTCTACCGATAGCTAACCGCAATTTAAGAAGATTTAATACAGGAGGAGTTACACGCCAAAAGACGAACTTTATCTAGTAGGTAGTAAGTTTGATTCCGCAGCAACGTCATCGCTCGACAACGGTGGGCAATGCATGGCTGATGACGTTGCGGTATCAAACTTAAAAAATATTAAGCGTTACTCCTCCTGTATTTAGTCTTCTTACCCCAAATCTACTGAAAGTGACAGATATCTAACCTCAAATGTTTGTCCCCCCACCTACCGTTTCCGAACACACAGATAAAAAAAATTCTATAAAACTCAAGCACTAATAACTACCATTATCAGTATTTTTGTGTTAAATATAATTATATAAGAGTACAAATTTCAGCTTTACAAATGTTGGAAGCTGCACTTCAACGTGAAATGTTTTTTCTATCTTAAAGATGAACAAGCATTACTTTTAAAGGGTTTGGTGGTATTAATTATATATATATAGGAAATATTTATAGACGAAAAACATGTCATTTTGAAGTAAATTGTTGTTATAGAGAAGAAGCTGTGATTGTTCAGCAATAAATAGCTTGTGCTAGTTGGGAACATCGTCACAACTTTTATTTTTGTTTATACAGGGTGTTCGTTTGCCTGTTTGTCTGCGCATTTTATAATCAACAATCAAGTACATTCCACTTTAATTTATAAGATTTTCATTCATAAGAGTGTGTATGTTATACACCCTGTAGAGTAGAAAAGGAAAATACCTAGTGTTTAGTTTAGTTTATATGATCAGCTTGGGCCTTCTTTTTTCATTGGGGCCGACTGGGAACAAGAAAAACACATCACTCGCATACTATCGGTTTTTTTTATTTACATTTTCATTTTCATTTACATTTGTATATATCTTCATTGTGAATTTATTGTAAAAATTAATTAGTAATTTATCTATATTATTATAGTCTCCCAGTTTTTAAGTCTATTATAATGAGACTGAATAAAATGTGTATTTTTATTAAACAGTTGTGTTTTATTTCTTTTATACATATACTTTAGGGTGATTCAAAGAATTTTTTTGACTTATGATATCGAACAATTGGTTGCTGGCCTGTCTACGTATATGAGCTCTTAGTTTTAAAAGTAACATTCTACTTTTACGGTAGGTATACTAATTGATCATTGTTGATATTTGTTTTTGTCCAGCAAATATACTGCTCAAAACAAGGTCTCTTCAAGTACGTAAGCGAGGTTAACTATTTCACTTAACAAGATTTTATAACACATTTTTACATACTTATCTTATACAATAAGTCTCGCATTTTTCACATCACAATTTAACCCAAAAACTACAATTTTAATCATTGGAATAGGCTTGTCTTTTAAATAAAATTGTTAGAGGGTGAGCAGTGTTGTCAATAGTAGGTATACTAAAATTATGAGCGTGTGTACTATGTACTACGTAATTATAGTACGCATTTTGTCTCAAAATATTACTACATAAATAAAAATAATTGAACAAAAAAATTGATTAAAACATAATATCAAACAAAAAATTTAAACAAAAAAAGTTTGGGGTCAAAATAGTAATAAGTATTTTTACAGTAAACAAAAACCGTAATAACGGTACAAATACAAAACATGTGAAATGGTTTAATACGTTATTTTTACTACATAATAACCATAACCAAGCAACAAAAAATGGCCTAATAAAAGCAAATTAAATACTACATATTCGCGTAAAAATAACATTACATCATGTCTCCTCTTTTTTTTATAAACCCTTAACATTTATATATATATATTTTTTTAATTTATATTTTAAAATGGTATGCCTAAAGTTGGTAATAAAGTTACCCGTAAAATAAAATTAATAAATTTAACTAATTATATTTAGCATTAAAACTTATTGTTTTAATATAAATAATTAAGTGTTTAAAATAAATATATATGTATAATATATATAATAATTCAAAGATTATATACAGTGTACAATTATCAGATATCAAAATTTTTCAGTCGTATACGCGGTTTGATATCTGATGATTTTATTTTAGATTTTAGACCATACAGAACTTTTTATAAAGAATAACTTTTCTACGTATTAAATTAATAATAAGAAAGTTTCCCACTTTTTTCTAAAATATTTGTTAAAAATTATTCAATTAATTTTTATTAAATATTGGATACAAATTTTAATAATTTATTATGGCGTTTTTATTTTAACCTACGCATTTAGTTTTATTTTTTACTTAAAGTTGATTTTTTCATTAAGCCTAATACTTTTTTATAACACTTTAAACCTTAAAAAGTTCCCAGAAAAACAAGAATTATTTACGACTACAAAGTGGTTTTATTATAGTAAAAGTATGACTTATAAGTAAAATATAGTTTAGAGTGAAAATATTTACCCTTAATAGTATATTATGTATCAAGTTTGATAAAGGCCATTTTACACACTAATTTAATTTAGGCACGAGCGAGCTTGCGAGCGAGTGCTTAAATTAATGAGTGTATAGAAAAGTTTATAAACGAGGTGCATACTATACTTTTTCTACGACAAATACTTATTATTATGTTAAAATGATTTAAATCAAAAATTTGTATAGAGCGCCATTTATGAAACAATAAGGGAATCCGTGTGTCACCGTCAAATGTCAAATTTTTTCATTTTTTAAACACAGATTATAAAGGTTATAAATCGAAATGTATTTCTTGAAAATTGACAGTTTTTCACAGTGAAAGTAAAGAAAATGTTTTATGAGCACTTTACAGTGGAGTCCGTGCCCGAATTTAAGTTATAGTTTACTGCCGGCGAAATTAAAAGGTCAGTACAATATTCATACAAACTTTTCAAATATTGGCGTTGAGAAACTATTTAATACTTTTGTATTTTTGTATTGAGATAATAAAATAATTTTCACATTTAGTATTATTTTACAAAAAAGGCAATTTATTTTATCGATTGTATGACATTTGACAACTTCAGCCCGTGACTAAAAACTTGTTGCTAACTTCAGCCCGTGACTAAAGCGCCATAAAGCCACAACTTGTCAATGTGTATTTAATAGGTCACTTAGTGTCATGGAAACATGTACGATAATGGGCGTTTTAAAGGTGGGAGTAGAAAAAAATATTTTAAAATAAAATAACCTATAAGTAATTTTGTTTCGTAAAAATTACGTTAAGTAAACATCTGCATTACTTACAACTTGAAGATAAAATGTTATATGCTATTCGGCTTTGCTCAGTCTGACTTTTTGGCCTAATGACATAAATATTTATTATTAAGTTTATTAACTAAACTTTGATGGCCCATATTTTTTTTAAATAATAAAGTTATCGTAAAAAGTTAATAATAAAACTTCGAGGGAATTAAAATGTCTACAATATTACTTAAATATATATATATTTTTTGAATAGGCATTTTCCAATAAACAAATTTAGATTATTCCTTGGCCTAACAAATTTAATTCAAAACCCCTCTACATGATATGGTCGATGAGATGACCCCTCTTCGCTGTATGTTTATATAATGGTTTATTGGACTTCGATTTGGACGTGAATAATTGAAAATGAATAGAAAAAATATTTACAAAATTTATACCAATTACACCAAAATTTACATAACAAACAAAAACATAATGTGTAATAACAAGTATTTTTATTGAATAATAGCAAAAACAATAGTTTGTTTTTTTCCAAGCATTTAATAATATTTTTGTTATCCTTAAATAAAAGGATGTCTGCAGACATGTCATCTATCTTTCTTGTAAGGTGTTTGGGGAGAATTTTAATTAAATTTAGCCTGTACAGGAAATTTTCCTTTCATTTTTATTAAAAGCACATATACATATGTAAATTTCACTTAAAACTAACTGTAACAGTATAACCCAGTTAAATGTATTTCTAGAAACGCCTATAATACATAAACTTTGGAAAATAAACAGTATTTCTGACCTTATTGCCTCATAGATTTACTGTAGGTATTGTAATTAATGGAAAATATTTTTTCAAATAAAAAACACGTAATTAATTATTGCAAGCAAGAATAAATTGTCGTCCTAATTTTTAACCTATGTCAGCGGTTAGGAAATAGGGCAGTTAAAATAGATAGTTGAAAATGTTGGTTCGGCAAAAAAATAGTGATTTTAGGAATAATTAACGACATAGAAAATATAATTACATCATGATCTCTCTTTTATAGTTAATCAATTATTTGTCAATGAAAATTTCGTAACAAGTGTGTGAAATGGTACAGATGCAAATATAGAGATGATCTTGTAATAGATTTTTAGAAGTATGTTGGGGTAAATCTGCAATTATAATTGCACAGTTACTTAAAATATGTTGGAGTGTTAAAATAGGCCTCAAGGTTTAGGTTTGCTTTGCGAAATTTTTAGATAATAGAGAGAATTATGTCAAAAACGTTTCCCACATTTGAATCAAATATCGTGGATACTAAGAAATGATAATTTCCATATTAATCGCAATAGTAGGTTAATGTAATATGATAGAAACTAAAAACGAAATCACTTTCTTTTTACTTTGTTCCATAATGTCGAAGATGCAACCGATACACTACATATCATATCAATGTTATTGTAATTGAATAGGCTTCGTGAGTTTTTTATCATAAGACATTTGAGAATTATGCCAAAGAAAGTCGCATGCATTGCAATACCTAAGACTTAGTTAGAGTGAGAATTAGGATATGCATTCCATAATCCGATCCAATTTCAAAAAGAAAAATCGTGATTGTGTGTCAAGATTATTATATTATACCTAATTATATAATGTAAAATAATACCTTTAATCATGAAAGTAATATCTAAGCTTTCGTACACGTGGAAAGAAATATAAATAAATGTGAAACGATAGCAACCCTTATTAGGGTTTGTCCATAAAGTACGTAAGATATATTTTTTTTAATTATAGACACTCTACTCCACTTGTCACATGTTGTCACAAAGTCAAGTTTGTTTTTTCTAAATTTAATTAATTTTATTAAACCATTATATTTTAATATTTTACAGATAATAATATGTCCAAAGTTCCTAACTTCATTATGATTGGAGGTTAAATTAGCAAACATAATAATAATAATACAAAATAGGTGGCATTTTTTTTCATTTAAATGGTTACAACAGAAAAACCATTAAACTTCGGGTTTCCGAAATATTCACAAAAATATTTTTTTAATGGAACACCCTGTATATTTTTACATATTTAATTTGGAACAAAAATTATTATTGCATAACTACCCTAAACTAAAAAATAAACAATTAATAAGCACTTGTACTTTCTTTTTCATAATTTCCAGGAATAACGTTCGGTTTTGACAGATTTTTATTTTTTTTCCAATTATTTTATTTTTTTCCCAATTTTTAAATGCCTTGTAATTATACAACTTTTGTCTAATTTAACCGACCTTGTAGATCTTGAAAAAAAAGATACCCATACATAGAAGGATCCTTGGTGCACCCTGTATAATACAATTATTATTAATTAAAACATAAAAATAATAATGCAAACAAATATTTTAATTTGTTTGGTGTGAATCAACGCACGATCTAGACACATGTCACACTTTGTCACAAACGGTAACCCCCTCCTCTATATACGTGTGACGGCCCCTTAAATTGTTGTTTGAATCCAATCAAAGTTAAATTTGTTCATTGGTTAATTTTATTTACTCAGACTGGCTAAATGAAGTCGCTATAATAAAATTCTGTTTACGAAAACACTATTATCAAATTAAAGTACTGTTATAATAAATATATTCTATGGAAACCAAAAAGCAATGTTATTTGAAGTAACGGTTCAAGCTGAAAATAACAATAGTTAAACGTAGAAATAAATTGGCAAATAACAAAATGTACACCCGGAAATATTGAAGCAAGGCGGAAATGACCTTGAAAAATTCATAAAAAATAACAAAGATTGGTGAGAAAAATTGCGTTACATATTGGAAGAAATGTAAATAACCGCAGAGGCGAAAAATTCGACAAACAAATACATTGTTGTTTGTAGCATGGTGCTGGGTTGTTTCTTCCGTCTGTGTACGACCAAGGTCAACATAAATATGCATCACACTGACCTACATAGACTAGGGAGGAGCAGGTTGAAAAGACTATCAAATACAATAAGTGATAAATCTTATCATAAGAGCAGACAGAATGCCTGTTCTATTCAATGTCAACACAAGGTGAGCCGGTAGATAGTGTATGTAACTTGGCCTGATGCGTTTAAGTCCAAAGCTGGCCACCTTTTCTTCAACACTTGTACGCAATACACGACCAAAAATTATTAAAATCGCTCGATATTTCATTTAAACCACTATTTTAAACAAGATTCTACGCAACAAGCACATTTTTAAAGCCATAATTTAGAATTATAATCAAAACCCTATTTTACAATGTCAAAAACATATTATTTTATCAAAAACCCAAAAATTCATACGATTACATATACAAATTTCAAAAATCCATTCAAGAATGTTCAAACCATAATTAAGAATGTAAAAACAAATACAAAAAATAATGGTTTTTAAAAGTACATGAGACCATATGGAATAGTCTTTAACATTAGAAAGTGACAAGTTTATTATTATTTACTTTAAGAAAGTATTTTGTACTTTTTGGTGCGTTAAAGTCTGCTTTTTAGTTTTATAAAAATATTATTTTAGTTAAAAAGTAAGTTTATAATTTACATCCGCTATATTAAAATTTAAATTACCACGTATTCTGCTTGACAAACCCTCTCATTTGATACCCATGTCAAGGAGGTTGTAAAAAAATAGTTTATCCGCCATCTTGGATCGGCCGCCATATTATATTTGGCATGACGTCACTCGCCTTATTGTTTTCTACTCGTCACACCCTTTCATTTCATACCCATATTAACTTAATATTATTAAGAGAGTTGTAAAAAAAGGTAATCCGCCATCTTGGATCGGCAGCCATTTTCAGCAAATTACAATATTGAGTACACTCGATTGTATTGTCACCGGCACCAAAAGTGTATGCAAAATTTCAGCTTAATCGGTCAGGTGGAAGTAGGTTAAAATCGACTTCCTAGATTTGTGGACTTTGGCGTTTTAGTCACCGGCTGAAGTTAGCAACAGGTTTTTAGTCACGGGCTGAAGTTGGCTTTAAGTTAGTTGACTGTTATCAAATGCCATATAATCGTTAAAATAAAGTGCCCTTCTTGTAAAATAATACTAAATGTGAACATTATTTTATTATCGCAATACAAAAATACAAAAGCATTAGTTAGTTTCTCAGCGCCAATATTTGAAAAGTTTATATGAACATTGTACTGACTTTTTAATTTAAGTGCTCATAAAACATTTTCTTTACTTTCACTGTGAAAAACTGTTGTTAATCGATTTTCAAGGAATACATTTTATAACCTTTATAACACATAAAAATTCCCCTATTGTTTTATAGATGGCGCTCTATAAAAATATTTGATTTAAATCATTTTAAGATAATAAAAAGTATTTGTCGTAGAAAAAGTATAGTATGCAACTCGTTTATAAACTTTTCTAGACACTCATTAATTTAAGCACTCGCTCGCCTAAATTAAATTCGTGTCTAAAATGGCGTTTATCAAACTTGATACATAATATACTATTATCTACTCCTACATGACTTTATAGCGTTTTAGTCACGAGCTGAAGTTTGCAACAGTGGCGTTCGGGCATTTTAGTCACGGGCTGAAGTTATCTTTATTATAAATTAGGAAAAAGTGAGGTTAAATCCGTTAAAAGTTGACAGATGTCAAATTTTTAACAAATAAAATTGGCTTTAAATTCTTCTTTGTTTTCGTCGTAGATAATAGTACCTATATTATGTATCAAGTCTTATAAACGCCAATTTAGTTACGAGTTTTATTAGACACAAGCGAAGCTTGAGAGCGAGTGTTTAATAAAAACGAGTGTCTAGAGAAGTTTATAAAACAAGTTGCATATTATACTTTATCTGAGACGAACAGAAATAAGAATTAAAGGCAATTTTAATCAATAAATATTTGACATTTGAAAAATTAAACCTCACTTTTTCGCAATTTAGAATAAAGCTAACTTCAGCCCGTGACTAAAATGCCCAAAAGCCACTGTTGCTAACTTCGGCCCGTGACTAAAATGCCATAAGGTCACAGCTCGTCAATGTAGGAGTAGATAAAGTATAGTATGTAACTCGTTTTATAAATTACATTTTAGTTACGAGTTTTATTAGTCACGAGCGAAGCTTGCGAGCGAGTGTTTAATAAAAACGAGTGTCTAGAGAAGTTTATAAAACGAATTACATACTATACTTTATCTACTCCTACATTGACGAGCTGTGACTTCATGGCGTTTTAGTAACGGGCTGAAGTTAGCATCAGTGGTTTTTGGGCATTTTAGTCACCGGCTGAAGTTAGCTTAATTATAAATTGGTGAAAAGTTAGGTTAAATCCGTTAACAGTTGACAAGATGTCAAATGTTTAACAAATAAAATTGGCTTTCAATTCTTCTTTTTGTTCGTCGTAGATAAAGTATATTATGCAACTCGTACTTCTCCAGACACTTGTTTTATTAAACACTCGCTTGCAAGCTTTGCTCGTGCCTAAAATCGCATTTATAAAACTTGATACATAATATACTATTAACAAAGCTTATTTAGCGGGGGTATAGTTACGCCACTGTTAAACGACTAAGCTGCATACTTTGGAATATTAAAAACACAATTTAGAATATTTTTGAATCATACATAGATCAAATTGTAATGTCTTCATAAATGTCAAATACATATTATAAAACTTAAGATGAAGTTAAAAAAATATTGGCTTAAAATTTGACAAATTACATTCTCTTTTAGGATAAAATTTTAAGTTGAAGAAAACGGAAGATAAATAATAAAATTAATTGGGATATTCAGTTTGATACAATACAAGTGTAAACATGTCAGTGTAATTATTATGTATTTGGCAACAGTTCAGCTTTAAACTTGACCCATTTAAGACTTGAGACCTTAAATCTATACCAAACTGAAAATCAAAAGCCAAAAGGTGCACTTCAAATCCTAAAATCACCTTGATTTATCGAATCTAAGTCAAAGCCAATTCGAAGGTAATTTAGTAAATTTTTAATAGTTTAGTTCAATATTTCCTTTAAGCTTAAGAGGTCATTTTTGGTTTTTCTTGAACGTCGAAAAGTAAAACCGCTATATAAATAGATAGAGCAGTTTTCAAGGACCGCGTCTTGGCTCTAAACCAGATTACACACAGGTGGTTAATAAGTCTCTTGCTCTTTTTCTAAAATGACCCAAACAATTTTAAAATTGCTTTAAGTACCAACCAATTTTTCAATTAACTCATTACATGCGCCACAAAAGAAAATAAAAGTTTACCTTAAAATCTGAAACTGGATTATACACCAGAACAACTAACTTTTGAAATAAAACAAAAAATTTTTCCAGGGAGAACAATAGAAAGTTATTCAAGATTTTTTCATTCCTTGTTTATCCCTCACGTTCCCCTTGCTATATTTTAATGTCAAATATGATAAATGAGCGCTTTTAAAGTAGCATAAGTCGAATAAATATTAATTCGCTGCTCGTAAATGGGATTTAAATGTCCTGCGCTTCGGGAAGGGTTAATCCGGAAATATACGAGACCCCTTAAATATACAAACGGAATTTTCAATAAGATTGTCTTCATTATATATGGTTTACCTCTACAATTTCACTCAGTGTTTAGTATAAACCAAGGATTATGTTGTTTAATTTCACATAAAACTTTATATCGTAGAAAATGTAAATTTTATTTTCTCATTTAAAACTTTAATCTACTTATAATAATTAATTAACCAAAAAACTACTTCCGCAAACCTATAAACTAAATTTTCTCGTACAAACAAATTATTTATTAAATACTTATTATTATTATCAAATTTGTTTGACTAAGGTAGGCAGCCCACAATACATAAAAAGTAGAATCTATAGTATACGTCACCGGCAAGATAAAAATAAATATTATTACATGCACCGAGCATGATGCACGTGTGCAAGTTTTTTACTATTTGTAAATAAAGAAAACTGTATTTTTATTTTACAATTTGTTGAAAACCAAAAATAATGATTTTCTGGTTATAACCAGTTTATATCTGTAAATTTCCTTAACACTATTTATTTTTTATGATAAGACACAAATAAAAAAAAACATTTTTATTTTTGTTTTTGTAAAAGTTTATTGAGACGCTTTCAATCAGAGTCTCTGCTTTCAATCGCTCGATTAGTATAGTGCGCAACCTCATTGCGTATACGCATTACGGCAAACTTACAGAGTTGAATCAATATATTTAAAGCCCTTTTAACAATACATTTTTTTCATTACTTTGACAATAAATTTTTCTGTTTGAATGTGTAATAAATAATGGTTTTGGCATAGTCATTGAAAATTTTAAAAATGAGCATATGAAAAGTTTTCCAAAATTGTACCATCTTTTTTCTCGCTCTACAGGCTCAGAATAATTATTTTCGATTAAAAGCGTGAACTTGTGAGTCAATTTTCAAATAATTTATAACCGAAAAAAACAATCTAAAAAATTTTTTTTTACGAAATTTTTTGGGTACCCCATTTTGCACCCCCCGCTACTTTGTTTTGCCCCCTTTCACCTCCCGTCTGCTAATTGTACCATAAAATTAAAAAAAACAGAAAATTTGATGTTAATCAAACTTTGACCTCGAATAACTAGAAGAAATCAATTTATCGAAAAATAATAAAATATATAAGAAACTCCAATGATTATTGCCATAAGTTACTTTGATACAGAGGTATAAAATTCCAAACATACAATTATTTCTTCCCATGTTAATTAAATGGTAAACTAAAATAAAAACAGAGACCTCTTAGAGTTGAGCTGGAACGCCCATATTTGGTGAGGATTTGTTTTATATTAAATAGAAACATTTGAGAGGGTAAGAGCGAAAAAAAATTTTTTTTATTTTTTAAACACCCTAATATACACATATGTATATTTTTAATTTTAATTTTGCTTGTTTTTTGTTGCATGAACAAAATAGTACGCTTTTATAATAAAGAATTCTTTTTCCACTAGGGACAAAAAAACAGTTTAAAAATATAATTTTTTTTTTGTATAGGTACGCAAAATAAAATATTATTTGTTTTTACAGAAAAACTTATGTATAAAACACTGCTTTAAAAGGTTTTGGACACTTAGTTGTCGAGATGTTTTTTGAGTTTTCGGGGGTGGTTTTTGTTCGTTACGGCCCTGTGTTTGTTAAAAATTATATTCTTGATAGTGTTTTTAGGGGTTACATTAGGGTGGTTGTACTATTTTTTGTTGAATCACGTTTGGGGGTATTTTTTGTGTTGTACGTATTGTGGCCCAGAGTGTCTTAAAAATAAATTCGCTAACCGCGTCTGCGTGTATAAACTTTTTAATCGCTCAAGCAAAGTGTCTGCTAGAAACCGAGACAGTAGATCAAAGCAGCGAGTGAGCGACGTGCTACATTGCGTTAGCGCAGCCAGTTTAGCCGCTTTTTTGACAGCTGTTGCATCAGAATGAATGAAAAAGTCGCGGAACTCGAGAGCACGGTTTTTTCGAACGACACCAAGGCCCTTTGGGTGTTTGCATACGGGTCCTTGTGCTGGCTGCCGGGCTTTCAGTTTCATAAGGCTGTTACTGGACATGTCAAGGGGTACAACCGAAGATTTTGGCAGGGTAACACCACCCATAGGGGAACGGAAGACAAAGTGAGTACCGCAAAATATTTTTTTTTTTAAATTTTGGCGCCATCATTTTTTGAAAAAATCAGGATGTGTCTATAATTAAAAGCCGGATATGTCCAAATTAATTTTAAATTGCTTTATTGTTTCTTAATAAGTCTTAAGGCCATTTAAATCAAATAATTACAAATTTAATGATTACGTGTTTTCCTTTTTAGCCTGGAAGGGTGGCCACACTAGTAGAAGACCCAGTTGTAAGTATAAGGAATTTGTTAATAACCTTGTTGTATATAATAGTATATTAAAGAACTAAATAACATAAGACGTCAATTTCCTTTCTATTTGTCAAATTCAAATTTTAAATTATATTTGCGTATCGTACTGTTGCCATGGAGACAATACGAAACGCAAATGCGTATCGTACTGTTATTTTCGTATACAAATAGATCATTTTAGATCGGTTTATATTTTATTACGCGTGTTATTATTTTTAGTTGTATCACGTTTGAAGTTCATGCGATTTTTTTCGATTTTCACTAGTGTTCCTTTGTTCCTTAATAATCATATTGTTATCATTTCGATTTGATCCACTTGTAATTAAATAATATCCAGACTAAATATATTTTAATTTGTTTGTTTAATGAATTGTTACAATGATTTTATCTTTTAATCTATAATTTGATACTACCAAAATGGTACGATACCACCCACAACCTAAGTCACGTTTAATAAACTTTAACTAATAAATAAATACCATGTATGTTTGGATCTCAAAATAAAAAGTGTATACACGCATAAAAAATCGCCAAATGATTTTTAACCAGTTTTTAATTTTATTTGTAACATTCTATTTTTATTCATATTTGAGTGTGCGAATATTTTCACGAGCCTTTTGTTGGCCAAATTAAATAAATTTCCTCCTACGTCAGCATCAAACATCCAGCTTGATCGTGATACCGATGATAACACTTTTAATATAATTTACTTATTTGCGTTTTCGAAAAATAATTGCACTGATCCCGGCACATCCGCCATTTTTGCAACTATTTTGAAATGCGTTCTCGGAATTTAAGATGGACTATATAAAGGTTATAAATCAACCACTTGAGAACAATTTAGATTATATTATTCATTAATTGTTTAAGTTTTGACCAGTCACTTTGTATTGGAAGAAGTAAAAATTGCTTTGACCTTTTGATAAAGGTTTTTTAATAACCAGATTAAATAACTTTTATGGTAAATGCGAAATAAGTTATACCGATAAAATTTCATAATATTAATTATCATTTTTGATAGGTCAAAAATATTATTTACAACGCAAATAAACAAGCCCCTAAATTAATATTTAAACATACTCCGAAGTATCAAAATAAGTTAATAATATTTATACTGTTATGTTTGAAATACGATACAATACATTCAGGTTTTACTTGCTCTGTAAATATTTGAAAAGCACCAACAATTTCTATTACGTCCAACTGTAAAATGTGGCCACCATAAATAAATTTTATTACCTCTCAATAAAACCGCAATATAGTATTTGGAAATTTCCCACCAATTATAATAATATGAATAAGAATTATTAAGGGATCCTTCAGCTATGGGGCGCGGTTTTATTTTTTATTCTAAAGTGACATGTTCATTAGATAAAATTAAATTTGTAAAGAGTAGATTAAAATTTTAAAGTGGTAATTTTTGGATTAAAAATTTATCGACTATCATTTAAATGACTATTAAAAATTTAAAGCAAAACTTTTTATCTTTAACAATTTTAAATTGATACATTTTTAACTCAAAATTAAACGTAGCTTTAGCATTCTTGTTAACCTTCAATATATATATAATTCTATTCTAATTGTATAAATAAATCGAAAATTTACTATTTTTAACTCTTAAATAACTTTAATAATGTTGATATTTAAACCTTTATTAGTACTCTGTGCGGCCGAGATCGGCCGTATCATGCATCTCTTTTCTTCCGAATGCGTTCTCTCTTTAAAGTTTTGCACACACTGTTTTTAAAGTCTCTAGCTAGATTTGTCGAGTTGTACGAAGTCTGCAGCATATGCAGTCAGCTAAAGCAGCGTTTACACTTATTAAATTAAAAATTATCGACTTACATTTAAAGGTAATGTGAATTATGGTGTTGAAATTTTAAATTCACTAAATTAAAAATATCATTTTGGCATAAAAATTAAATCTAATTTTAAAATATCTGCAATGATATGATGTGATGTGATATTTTTTGTCTAATTAAAAATATCACTCTAGGGTTAACACATAAAAATAATTCCTGAATAAAAAAAAAACAAATTTTCGCTTAATGTCGCAGTTTGTATTTAATATTTTTTTAGGGATCTGTACATGGACTGGCGTTCGCTATAAGCGGTGAAGCAGCTATACCCTACCTATCCAAAAGGGAATGCGAATTGGGGGGTTATATATCACAATTCACGGATTTCCACCCCGCCAAAGGGCAACCCTTTAAGGTATTACTTTATGTGGCCACCATTAAGAATCCCCTGTGGCTTGGAGACGGCAAAGTGAAGGATATAGCACGACAAGTAACGGAGTCGAGGGGCCCGAGCGGGCACAACGTCGAATACGTGGTTAGGCTGGCTAACTTTATGCGCGAGCATTTTCCCGAACATCCCGACCACCACCTCTTCGAGTTGGAGAAAGACGTTTTGGCGATAGTCGGTGAGAAAAACATGTGCCTTAGTAAATTGATGGGGACCGGTCAGGGCTGTGTCAAGTTTGTGAAAAAGGATCACAGTGCCAGCAACGCGAACAACGATCAAAATAATCCCGAACGGGTCGACTCCTTCGAGCACACGACTAGAGTTCCTGAGAAAACTTTGCGCTGTCTGAATATTTGATTTTTTTCTACTGATTTTATTGATTTGACCTGCAAGTGCCCAAATAAGATTCTCCTTATTTTAGTTTTCTAAATAAGGAAGATATTGTATATTGTGATTTATTTATTTGACAATTGAAAATATAACGGTACAAAAATAAGAAATCAATTGTTATTGCTACCATGTAGCAGATATTGTGATAAGGACTTGTTAGTATGCATTTGTCACAAATTAAGTATTTTTGTATATCTAATTGTTACCATTATTACATTATAGCCTTATTATAGTTATAATTTTTATAGTATATTTTTTTCGCTCTTAGTACGTTCTATTAAATTATTAAGTTGGTAAAATAAATTTTGTATGTAAAAACGCATCAAAAAAGTTATGATTTATATTTTTGTAAGTATCTATTACGCTGTGATTTTATATAATTAATAAACAATTTAAATAAAACAACGAGTATTTATTGAGTCGCCTTACACTGATCTTCTAGGGTTATTTTACCCCCTTTCGGTTCTATACGTATCCCGCCACTGCACAGCGTTACCTGTGTTTGGTGGATCCGAATTTTCACCCCGGCAGGTAATCTTCCCGATGGTGAAGGCCATTCCCATTTTGTCGCCGGGCCGACCATACGCCCGATTTAGGCTAGTGTAGTGTAGGACAAGGAGGGACACAGTTGGTTTTTGGGGGCCTTGAACTGACCCAAAACTAAGTACAATCCGGACTCCCCCTCAACCAGGGTATTAGTAATGACCCCATTCAATTGGGGTTCATGAATGAGGCATGGGTTATTAGTACGTTACTTGGACTTCCTCGCTGGTCTGCTGCACGCAGTTGTTTGCCCCACTGGGGTGTTGTTTTTACTTTCCCCACACTCTTAAAAACACGACTCGTTATGAGTTATTGACTCTTTGTCCCAACGGAAAGGCAGTCGCTAATGGATAGACAAATTTTACCGAATGCAACAGTCTTTATTGGGTTTGGTTTAAAGTTTTTTTTAGAATAGTTTTAGTTTACTCACCTAAGCAATTCCTATAATTATTTAATTTAACTATTATGTAGTAGGGACTATTTATTGAAAACGACTATTCGTTTTTTTCTGGTTGTGGTAGAAATTGGGTTTACGTTTTCTTTTCTTATTTAACAATTAAGAAATTGCATTTGTATTTATTTTTACTGCTTCTACTATTTATTTATTTATTTTTTATACTCGAGAAGGTCCCCCAGTTTGTTTATTTAAGGCAAAGATTAGAAAATGGTTTGATTACTTACATAAGATTTATGTGTTTATTAAGTACTACTTGTCACGTCCTATCCTGCCTGTGCATTCGGTATTTTTTGTCTATTTAATGTAGGGGTTCGTTAACCCTGTTCAACTTTTTTATTCTTTCTTGTTGATTTCTACGGATTTGTCACTTGGGAAGGTATAAACACACCCGTAGGATCGGTGAATTCTTATTTACGCAAATAGCGAAAAACTTATCTGAATATGGCTCCTTGTCCCCTTGCAATTGGTTTCTTTCAGGTTCATGCCGCGATGAACTACCTGTTCAGGTGGGTGGTTCCGTGACTTCGACAGGTGGGGTGGCAGTTCACTTCACGCTTTTAAACTTAGGTTTAGGATTAGGTTTTAAATGCACTGACTATGCACTGTATTTTTTTATATTTCAGAGCGGAGAAACTATTACGACTCGACCGTAGGAGTGTTGATTTAGCTAGTACTGAATAAAACAACGAGTATTTATTAAAAAATATATTAAAAGAGGACCAAGCTACAAATAAAAAATTAGTCTTTTACATAAAACAAACAAAATGTCACCACTCTATTGGAAAGTGTAAAAATTGCCTCTTGAACTTAAATTTGGCGGCAAAGTTCTTTGGAAATCCATTTGAGGATGCCTGAAGATCCCCTCGAATATAATGGCTCTTGTCTCTCTATGATAGATAAAATAAATAAAGGGTCTGTTAATGACCACTTTTCTAGCCGTTGAACCTATCAAAGGTATAACAATAACACCAGTAGCGGCCGCTGCTTTTGTTCCCTGCTCGTCCACTTGGATTTTCGTCTTGTGCACTATATTATTGACTCGAATATTGTCGTTCGGCACTATACCGGTCAGATTAGCTTCGTGGGTGAAAATGGTTCTAACTCCCAACTAAACATTTTAAATTAAGGTTATAAGTAACTCACATTGGGACAAAATTTAATCTAAGGTTCACAATGTCATGATAAAATACTTACAGGTTTAAGAATGTCCACCAAGTTCTTGGAGTAATCCATGTCGAATTTGGGGATGGCTAAATTTAGTTCAGTTTGTTTTAAATCAGCGATTATATCGGAGGGTTTTTGCATATCTGTGGCCAAGTTTTCAACGTTATTTCCTTCGGCTGGCATCACTATCAACATTGAGAAATCATCCTGAAAAAAAACGTTAACATTTCTAATATTTTCTGCGATATCCAGGTACTTACTTCATATGGGATTTCTACAGCTTCAGCGTGCAAGTTTTTGTTGTATTGGTAGTTAAAGTTGTTGCTCACTTGCATCATGTTCACTTCACGTCTTCCGCCATTTTCGAGGTAGAAATAATCTCTTCTTGTGGATTTCTCGTCGAAGGCCGTCTTCCACTTACCCTTAAAATACAAGGCATTTGCCAAAACCACAGTGAAGTCTTTGTGGATATTGTCAGTGCCGATAATAGTGGGGATAGCTCCCTTAGTCAGGTCGTTAACCCATTTGTTGATTGTTTGTACTGCCAATGGGACGTTATTAAAGTCAAGGGATTCGATGAATCCTTTGTAATCCTGGAGTTTGTTCTGATAGTCCTTGTAGACTTGGACTTTCTTTGATACGAATACCGCATTTGCACTTTCAACGTATCTTGTGTCCTGAAAAATGGTTAGTTATTATTCTGACTTTCTATAGAAATTGATCTCTATAGAAATTCTTCATCGCACCCTAGGTAGCACACTGTCGTCTGCTGACGTATAAATGACGTTGCTAACGTCATTTAAACGTCAGCAGACGTCATTTAAACGTCAGCAGACGTTATTAAAACGTCAGCAGACGTCATTAAAACGTCAGCAGACGTCATTAAAACGTCAGTGTGCTACCTGTGCTATGGGACTGATTGGTTTACTGCTAGAGATAATTTTCTATAAAAAGTAAATAGTGTAGTGAAGATAAACCTTTAATACATGCAGAATGGCCTTAAGATAACTCCTAGCTTGGGCCAGACTGCCGATTCTAAGGGTTTTTTGTATTTCTTCTGCGCAAATTCCTTTGGATCCTTCAAGAACCATGGCCAGAGTTGTTTTAATGCTCAGTGGCGATACCAATACATTTTCGTTTGTTTTAGCCAATTCCTAAAAAAAAGTGTTGTTTGTGGGCTTAAGTATGCTAAAATTGATGTCAACCTTGAACTGGATCGTATTTTAGACGTGCTATATTTGGAATATACGCCTTAATTTTTTATTTTCGTTTATTTATACTTACTTTCAGTAGAGCGATATCGAAAAAGATATGTCTTTCGTCACTTAGGTTTATGTTTTCATTTTGATTTTGATCTTGGATACTAAATTGTGGTATCTCGTCTAGGGCCTGGGGTTGCAAAAATTGGTGCACGGGTGTATATTGATTTAAAAGTTGGGCATCCGCTGCTGTATCGAGAAAAAACCGTGAATTAAAAATAATTGTTTGTAAATAAATAACACTCCCTCCACCTATTTATAGTTTAAAGATTAATAATAAAGACGAGCATAGGATAATTTATTCAAGAAACATGGAATGCAAATTAAAATTAACTACTTGGGATTTTCAATGATTAAATTTTAGTTATTTTTAAACAAACAATTACATTTTTTTTATTTATTCATTAAATAATTAACAAAATGTTAGTGAAATAATTTACCTGTGGTAAACACTAGAAATAAAACCGTTAAAATCATTGCATTTAGTTCAACGTTAAACATAATGAGAAGAGAACAAGCACAGGTTTATTGTTTATAAGATGCCGATTGCAGGACGGTGCATCTTGTTAGTTGAACAAAACTACTTTGTAAAATAATCCGCAATTTTAAAGGAAAGCATCATTTGTTTGACCTTGGAAATACCAAGTCTGCTAGCCGACATCAAGTTTACCAAACGCGTCACCTCATTTTAATTAAGTATTCATTTATTATCATCGATAGTCATTTTTCCAGTGCATCTTTAGTCACTTCACCACCGCCATGCAAAAGGAAATTAAAATAACTAATTGTTAAAGAGAATTTATTAGCTAAGAATTTACTACAGATTTATCGAGTCTATGACGTACCTTCATTTGATAATGGTTGCTGCGAAGCTGCAGCTGGTTTATTTACAGCTGCTGCAGCAGCTTTGGGAGGTTCCTGCGAAAATCTCGTCCCGGTTTCCAAAGGGTTTTCCACTTTTCCCACAAACAATATACTACTAGTGGTTTCCTCGTAAAGGAAAAACATGAACGGGTGACTGGCGTTGAATCTATATAGAGGTTCCCCAAATTTATTTCCAATATTAACGCCAGTAGCCGAAAACACCACACTGCCCTCCTCATCCAGTTCGATTCCAGTTTTTTGCAGGATTTCGGACACTTGCAACATTCTCAAAACATCTTTGCTACCCTTGACAATACCAGGAAAGCTCGCTGTATTTTGGAACATTTGTTTTAAACCAAACTGAAAAAACTCGTTAAATCATGTTACCTACAAAACAAAATAAAACATTACCTTCCTAAGGACATTAACGTAATTCTCCTGAAAACTGAACTTAAACTTTGGAATGGTCACATGGACATTGCGTTTAAAGGCATAAAAAAGTGCATCGTATATATGCATTGTGTTGATTTTCTTGATCATATCTGGAAGACCGCCCTTGGAATTCGGCAAAATGATCCATAGGGAGTATTTTCTACCCTAAAATTGTAATGCAATAAACACCAACACATAAATACTAATCTATTACTTTGTATGGGAGTCTCAAGAAACTGGCGTCTAAATCGGTATTTTCATGGATATAAAAACCTTCAGTCGTGGACATAAACGGAACTTCAACAGTTTCTTTACCTTGCACGTAAAACTTGCTGATGTGAGTCTCATTTTTGGCGAACTGATGGGTCCAAGTGCCTTTAAAATAAATAGCGTTCGCTATCACCATAATGGATTTAGTCAGATCGTCGGGTTTGACGATTTCCTGGACTTTTCCATTCGTCAGTGTCTGTATCCAGGAGTTTATGGCTATAGAGGAGTTTTTTGCGTCGTCAAAATTCGTAGGTTCTACTTTGGTTTGATATGCGTCATTTGCGATTGATAGGAATTTTTGTTGCGGTTGTAGTTGGCTATCCAAAAAAATCCTTGTCCCCAAATTCAGTATGTACTCCTTTCTCTCGGAAGCTTGCAGGGAGTTTAAGGTGGCGTTAAAAAATTTTCTGACAACCTCTTTTTTGTCGAACTGGAGGACGTTTTGGAATTCCCTTTCTGTTTCCCCAGCCGAGCCTTCGTATAGCAAGGCTAGTACTAGTTTAAGACTTATGGGCGATATTAATACGTTTTTGTATTTGGGGGATATTTCTTTGATTAGCTGCCAGTCCAGGGAGTCAATTTGTGGACCAGTAGGGGGATAAAACGAGTCTTCATCGTAACTTTGCAGAATGTCTTGCAATAAACCAGGTTGTATTAAGCAAAATAACCCTGAAATTTTCATTGTTGTAGAACCAATTATAACATGTATATAAACTTTACTTATTATGTTTTTTTTATAATTGGGTAAAAACCAAAACATGGGTACCTAAGTACTTATACGTAATTTTATTTACAGTTAATTGTAATGTATTGCCTTGCGATAATTCGATTGATAAACGAGAAAAATGGAATTCAACACATTTTTATTTATTATTTAGCCCTGGATTTCAAAGCTAAGGCGGTAAATAACTCGTTTTCATAAACAAGTTTTGTGAATTATTGGGAAATAATTATTCTACGTAAACAATAATAAAATTAAGAATAACAATAAGAATAAATAAAAAGAAATACCTGCAAAAAAATACAGCAACATAACGGCTAAAACTAAACACAGCACTAACTAAAACTGTTGATATTCACTTGACCCTACGAGATAGTTATGTTTCTGGTATTGAAAATACCAGTTTGCAGACTATTGTAGATTATTTATGAATTATTCATTATAAAAACAAAAAATAAATACTGTTTTTAATCCCAAATCGCCGATCTACTTCTTTTGATTACTAAAATTCCGCTAACCTAATAAATACGGATCGACGCAGAGCTAGTCTAGGGATTTGTTCGATTATTGTGTTGTTTGAATTTTGTTTCGTAGTGGTCAGAGACTTTTAACGTCACGTTGGAAATTCCTGACCCCTAATTATCTTTGTTGATTAATTTTTGATGCGAAATTAACTCAAACGTATGCAACCAACATTACACTCCCAATTACTTTTTTATCCTTCAAATACCCGAAAGTTCATGGTTAATATACAAATAATTATTATAATTAGGTGTTTTTTCCTTTTATCCATTAATTAATTAGTTTATTTACGGATTTGCGAATAACAACAATTCTTATCTGTCATCTGTCAGTGTGGTATTGAAAATGATACTTTTGTAAATTTCCCTTGTTTTTATGAAATAAAATCGGTAATTAATGTATATTTACTGACAAAATTAACCAAAAGTAAGTTTTAAATACACATTTTTAAAGCTTCTTTACAGTTTAAAATTTTTTTTAGGTTAGAAATTTATTCCTCCCTTAAAAATTATGGAAATATACAATTTATGACAAAAATAAACCATGGTAACAGTCCACTGGAAATTTAAATCTATACCAAAGTCTTTCTAGTAAGTTTTTAGACCATAAAATCGCTTTTTTATTAACAACTTACATTTTAGTCATATATTTAAAAACTTTTTTCAAAAATGGGCCACAGGCTTCCGCTCACTAACTTACAACCATTTTATGGATCAAAGTTATGCAGCAGACGTCTGTATGGAACCTATGTTTTGGTTTGTGGATAATTTTACTAATGCTATAGGACCTGTAAGTCATGCTTAATAAATATACAACACACTAACGAATGAATTTTTTTTAGATATTTGTTGTGGCAGTAGTGGGTTTAACTTTATCAGTAGTATGCATTGCCTACTGGATAGGTCTGCCATACTGGTGGAACCGAAACCCATGCATTTGTGTTTTTCTAGTCATTATCGGGCACTGGTTACTTTTAAACATTTCATTTCATTATTATATGGCTGTGGTTACACACCCAGGATACCCTCCCCAGGTAAATAGAAAAAGAACACTTGCTTATAATCAGAATTTATTACACATGGCCTTTTAGGGTGAGTTGATAACGGAAGCTGTGAGTATTTGTAAGAAGTGTATTGCTCCTAAGCCACCCAGGACGCACCATTGTTCTGTATGCAATAGGTGTATATTGAAAATGGACCACCATTGTCGTATCCTTTATTTTGTTATTCACAATATTAATATTGATATCAAAACAGGTGTTTTTCTTAACTAATCGATAGCTTGGTTAAATAACTGTGTGGGTTATAGGAATCATAGATACTTTTTTCTTTATATGGTTTACATGGTTTTAGGTGTATTTTTTGTTATATGCGCCGGATTTGATGTGGCTTATACAGCCATACTATTATCTCCAGATGATTTGAATGAACCTGAGTTGGAAGGGCATTCAGTGAAATTTAATAAATCTGGAGCACTTATACCTGTTGTGAGTAAAACCAGAAAATAACTATAAGCAGCTATTTAAACGTATTTTTTTAAGACTGATGCAGTGGATCTTGATTCATCTCTGTTAGATGACGATTACATCCAAGCATATGAGCCTATAACACCTTGGAAAAGAAGAGCCATAATTTATATGGCCCTTATAAATTGCGGGGCTTTTATAGCACTAGGCGCTCTGAGTTCCTGGCACTCAAAATTGATTGGCAGAGGGGAGACAAGCATTGAGGCTAATATAAACAAAGCGGAAACGACAAGACTTTCGGAAATCGGTAGAATATATGTGAATCCGTATAATTTCGGCAGCCGGAAAAATTGGAGGATTTTTCTCGGGTTGATACAAGGCAGAACTTTTTTAACTGGCGTGCTTCTACCATCTGCGCATGAGCCGATAGGTGATGGTCTCACCTGGCATACTGTACATGATGATAATCTGGACGAATGGCCCTAACATATACTCTAGTCACTACATGTTTTTTACCATTCCGTATTTTTTCGTAAATATTTGCTCAAGTGTTTTTAATTCTGGTGTTTTTGCCGCTAAGGACACAGTGATACAAGGGATAAGTATGTAATATGTAAGGCCCGGATTTTTAGGTCAAAAAGTGATAAAAGGTTCCTAAATTAGGTGATATTTTTAATAAAATAGGTATTTTAGGTACCTATATTTTATGTACTTATAAAATACATAAAATATAGGTACCTAAAATACCTATTTTATTAAAAATATCACCTAATTTAGGAACCTTTTATCACTATTTGACCTAAAAATCCGGGCTATATGTCATCATGGGAGAGTTTCTTAAAATTTGAGAATTTACTTTCTATAGAAAGCATTCCCTGTCACAATCTAGTGTGCTGTGGAGAATGATGTACTCTGATTGGTTAATCAATTACAATAGAAACCACTTTCTATAGACAGTAAGGTCGCAAAGTTAAAAATTCTTAATTTGCGGTACTTACACCCTATTAACTTAAAAGTTGCAACTTATATACTTTACATATTAAGAGGTAGTTTGTTCCATTAAATTATGTAATGAACATTTGTCTTCTAAAATGTAATTTTGAAATAAATAAATTAAGTATATGTCAATGATTTTTTCACTTTTTACCTTTACAGCAATTATTCAAAAAAATAAAGTTTTTTTTATCTGGACTGCTGCAACGTTGCAAATTTAGGGTTTTGGTTGGTAAATACAGTTGTCAAGTTAGTCGCATTGATTAAAACAAACTAAGCTAGTTATAAATCTAATTGTGGTTATGTATAAATTATTGTAGGTTACATTGTGCAGTTGACAAGTTGAGTTGTCGAAATTCGTAGTTAAAAATGCAATTAATTTGGCTTTGGTGGTGCTTGGATGAGTAAAATCATAAAAAAGTAGTTAAATATAGGTTGCTTTACGGCCCAGAAGAGAGTATTCCTATCGGATAATAGTCTTCGCTTTGAAAATAATTTATATAAAAGAAATTAAAATTTTTTGTGAACGTAATTACGTTTAAATGTTGTCCAATGCTGAATTCATAATAATGTGAATTTAATGTGTGATGTAATATTTATAAAACCAAATTCGTTACTTTTTTACTCCAGAAATGTCCATAAGGCGATGTACTTTTTCTTCCATTGTGGCATTTGACATAATTTCATCAAAATGAAGTTTTGCCCTCCAAAGGTCTTTTACATTTGAATTCGTTGGTATTATTTTTTGGCATAATTATCTTTTTATTTATAATTGACAAGTAAATTATCAATAATAAATATTATTGTCAAAGTATTTAATTAAATTCTTTAGCAGAAGTACCATTTTTAAATACTAAAAATTCTAAGTCAAAATGGCATAAGCCACCAACCTAATAAAAAAACACGAGTCCAGATAAAAAAAAATTAACTGGACTTGTTTATAAACATCCTTAAATTTTTGTCTAATTTTACTGCACTAATAATAATTTAATTTTTTTAATTTATTTTTTTGACACAAGAATTAAAACTATTTATATTTATATTAAAAAGACTAAACTATTTAGTCTTCTTTATATTTATTGCGTTATTGCGCCTCATCATAGAAAACCCCATTGACTTTATGTCTATGTTGCGCCCCTTTTGCAGCCCTTTTAAAATTCTACAATGTTGTCATATCGATTAGTTGCAAGATTAATGAGTCATCATTTTTTTATGGAAATCAATACGGCAACGCTGCCGTAAATTCGATTTGAGTTTTGACAGCAAACGCACTGTCGAAAATTGATTTTTGACAGAAACATAACCAAAATAGCAAAAATTTTAAAACAATGGCAAAAATGAATTCGACCAGCTTGTATGTTACAACAACACAAATAATAATGAAGTCTGAACCAAATAATCCGAGCACATGGCAAGATTTGTACCGTTTAGTTCCTTATTTAAGAAATTCACTGTGCTGTGTAGTTTGTGGTAATTTATTAGTGGACCCTTTAACCCCTGAAATGGGTAGATGTCAACATCACTTGTGTAGAAGATGCAAAGGGGGCCGAAAAAAAATCAAACCCGCTTGCGCTTGGTGTAAAGACTGTAAGGACTATACAGAAAACAAAAGCTTACGAATACTCTTACAGTGTTACAAAAAAATGTGCAGTTCCCTCATAACGTCCCCAATTTTCAATGGACTCAAGGAACAAGCGTCCAAAAGCCAAGCCACCGGCGTCGAAAGGGGAGCCAGTAATTTAATCCTGCTCATACGAGAAGGAGCCTCATTTCACGATGAATACAAAAGCTCAGGGGGTTTACCAAAGTCCGCTTATTCCATTTTACCATGTGTTTACACGAATTCTTCCACGCAAACTTTACAACCCTCAACAACCAGTGATAGTTCAAAAAATGTTGTGATAAATACTAATAATGTTCAAAACCGGACTTCTTTATATTCAGTGCTTTATGCAGGGACAGGAAACAAAATTACCATTAAAAGAAAACCTAAAGATACTCCAGATGTTAAAACTAGGTGCATACCCATCAAAAAAGAAATAGGAGAAAAGGTAAGTAATAAATGGCGCGAAATTTTAAAAAACCTAACCTCACTAGCGCAGGTAACGCGCTTCTTTATTGTTAAATTTAAATAATATTCCTCAATTATGCGTTTATTTGCGTAAATGTTTATTTATGTGCAGTACATGGCTAAACTTTGGACGGTATATAAGCCACCCTTATGCGCGTTAATCCTGCGCAGTACAATGTGTTTTGTTTTAGGCGGTATTTAAAAAGCCACCCTCAAAATGCAATATTAAACCAAAAAGAGGATGTAGATGCGGAAATGCCACTGCCACCCCAGGGAAGTTGACTTGTTGTGGTCAAAGATGTCCATGTTACGTGGAGGGTAAAGCATGTATAGAATGTAAATGTAGGGGATGTAGAAATCCACATCGACCAGATGGAAATAAAGTAATAATTTTGTTATTAATTTATCTGCAGTATGATTTTATTTTTTGTTGTTGTAGGTTAGGCCTCATATACCGGAGATATCGCAGATCCAGTATATGCCGTCTCAACAAATGCAGCAGACTGCAATTGTTGAGCAGGATTTATACAGGGATATGCATAATGTAGTCAAAATGAGTGATTTGGATTCACAGTTTGGATCGTTTGAGAATTCTGGTCAAAGATACAAAACATATAAAGGTAATCATACATAAAATTCTAAATTGTGTTATATGTTTTAATATTTTAGGAGTGCTAAATCCAATGGCTCTGTCGACGAATTTGTTATTAAACGGGCCTATGATTGAGGAGGATGATGAAGAGTCAGAAATAACTGTAGTTTGACGTTTTGTAACAGTCCAACATGTACAATGCCTTATTTATAACTTATTAATTATCGGCAGGACAATCTGACACCAATTTTCTAAACTAAGTAGTTTAGCTTATTTATTTTATTATAATTATTGTAATTTAAAAGGGGATTTATATTTTATATTCAGACTTTTAATTTTTCATGTCCTAATTAATTTGCTTTTTATTGTAAATAGATGTACATACGCGTATTAGACCAAATTTTATGTTGTAGTTTTTTTTATTGTTTTTATCATGATTTTATTTTTTAATTCCTGAATGAATCTCCTAAGTGAGGAGAGAGATATATGGACTGTACTTTATTTTTTGCTTTTAAAAAATGTAAATCAATTATTGAATAAAATATTTTAATTAAATGCATGTTTAATTAAGTATAATAATAAAACAATATTAATTCTGAAAATTGTATTGGATCAATTTAATGTGACATAATGGTGATTAAAATCAGAAAGGTTTATATGAGCCTGGATATTTACTGGGTAAAGATTTTTGCAAGTAATTTTTGACATGGTTCCACTTCAATAAATTACTAAATTCGATAATTTTTTCTTCAACTTCTTTACTGGGTTTTTCATCTTGTAATTTAAGAAGGTACTTCAAAAGTCTGCCATAATGTTGATTCACATAGGCATGCCATATTGCAAAACAAATAACATGATTATTTACCTAAAAATAATAAAAACATTATTTTTTATTTAGTGTTATCTTAATACATTATTACTTTAGAGTCACTGGTATCAGAGAATTTCAGTAAAGTCCTCCATATGGATTTGATGCTATCCAGGTTATCAGATTCTTTATTTTCCCCATTTAATCTACATAAAGCAATACCTTTTCTTGATAAACACTCTATGTACAGACTTTTTTGTTGCTCCATAGTTCTATAATGGAAATAAATTTATCCGAAAATTTAAACAAATTATGTAATACATACGTTTTTATTTTAGCTGCATCTCCTCTGGTATCAACTTTGAGCCCAATATAAGCCAACAAAGCCTCTTCGTTTATACTCTCCAAAACTTTGTTGCAAACATCAATAATCTTCACCAAATCAGCATTACCTTTACTTTGGTTAGCACCAGGCAGTATTTTTCTATCCAACGTTTCTAATCCTTGTAAATAGGCAGTATGCACGGGGAGATAATCCTCATAAGTCTTGCTGAGTTCCTCATACAAACTCTCACTATTAGCGTTGTCCAACTTGCTCAGCCACTGCACCTTTAAGTCGCGTATAGCCTCCTTGTACTCGTCGAATTTAGTTTTGTCCCCGTTAGAATTGGAGGAGTTGTTTTTTTTCGAGGGGGTCGTATCAACGTAAACGTACTTGAACGGATATGTGTCGACTCTTTTGCCATTTTCGTCTTTTGCGCACGTCAACACACCCGTGAAAAAGTGCGCTGTGTTGTTTGATTTAGCTGGGAACTTATCGGAGGCTAAGGGGGCTATGTAAAATTGCGTCTGCGCATTGGGGTTATTCACGTGGGTGACGCCAGCCTTTTTACCGCCCGTTAAGGCATGCGAATGGGTGTTATAAATATCCAAGTTTAAATTGCTGCTTAATTTTTGTTGGATTAAAATTGGTTGCTCGTTCAGTTTTTCGAGTAGATCTTTTTTATCGTGTCTTACTTGCAGTTTGATGTGGTAATCTCCCTTATCCAGTTTTATGGCATACTAAAAAATATATAGCATTAAAAATAATTTATCGATATAAGAAAAAAGCACGCCCCCACTATTTTCTGAAGGCAGTAATTAGCTGGGAAAGTTACTTCTGAAAAGAATCTAGTTACTTTTCTAAGATACTTTAAACAAAATAACTTAGTTACCTTGGATAACTATATAGGTACTTTGAGTTGAAAGTATCTTTAGTTACAAGATACTTTAGAAAGTATCCAAGATACTTTTAAGTAACTAAGATACTTTGGGGTAACTAAGTTACTTTTAAGTATGAATAAAAACTATAAAATTATAAGGTCATCATTCTGAAAGTTAACTTTGTAATATTACACTGAAAAGTATCTAAGTTACTTAAATGTATCTTAGTTACTTTACCGAGTAACTTGGATACTTTTTTAGATACAAGTTACAAGATACTTTTCCAAAGTAACTAAGTTAAAGATACTTTCTGTCCAATATAAAAAGTATCTAAGTTACTTTTAAGTATCTTTTTTTTCAAGATCTGGCAGAAAATAGTGGTCATTGGTACCAATAATTTTCCGCGAAAATGGGCGTAGTATATATTGTATAAAAGGTCTTACTTTGGAAGGATATGCGTCGCCACAGCCTAATAATTGTTTGTTGGTGTCGTATAATTGCCAAAATTGAGACTCAAATTCAGATTCATATAATGTATCACTAAGTGGGGCGAAATTTGGTGATACTTCACACTGCTTCACTAAGGTGAAGTTATAGGTTAATATTAACTCATAAACTTGTCTGCTAGGTGGGATGATATCCCTCTCAGTGAGGGGGCTAATTTTGCTATCGCTAGCCCTTTAAAACGAACAGAAAATATTACACAAATATTTGAATTAAATTTTTAATATTTTACCTGACAATTTGGACGGAATTCTTCAACAAAGCCGACATTAAAATTTCTTCTGACTGCAAAGTTTTAACGAATAAATTATAAATACCATCGGCTCCCAGCATGGTGTAGCTGTTTTGGTTGGGTTTGACACCGTAAAAACTTATAGAGTAATCCAAATAATTGTCGCCCAAACTGGCCCAATATTTGGCGATAACAACTTCAAGAACTTCATCTCCTTTAACAGCAAAAGGCACGCCAGTTTCGATATTAGAAAATACGGCTAAGGTTTTACAGAGCTCCAGTGTTTTACAGGATCGCCTAGGCACAAATTGCATTGTATGTATTACGAATCTACCATTATCGTCATCGGCAAGTAATTTTAAAACTGCCCATGTAGCACCGCTGGGTACGACATAATAATGCCTTTTAATGGTGTTGGGTTTGAAAAGAACCTTGTTATAACTAGCTATGTACTTGGATTCCCCAGTGAACTCTTTTGGTTTTATTACGGTAATCGGTATTCTAAAGACGGGCCCTTTGGAAATTGATGCGCTATCGTAAGCATTGATAAAGGTTCCATGCACGCCCTCGGTTAAACCGGTCACATCGATTTTAACCGCGAACAACCGGGCAACGTTCGATATGTCCAAATACCCCGGGAAGCTTACGTATTCGGCATTACAAGTTAAAGTTAATTTTAAGTTGAAATTAATTTTTTCTTCGGCAGGTACATTGTCAGAGTCCAAAAAACAGGGCTCCACAGAAACTTTAAATAAATACGAAGTATTCGTGAGTTTCGTTCTCAAATTAATACCCTTAGAGTTATTCGAACCGCAGTAAATGTTAAAACGCACTTTACTCTCGGTTATACTATGATAATCCAACAAATAATCAAAAGCTTTATCGATTTGCACTAAACCGTTTCCCTGAGCGTAATGTTCCACATCTTTAATATGCATAGCTGTATTTTCAAGCGCTTTTTTTATTATGTAAGGCGTAAATGGTAACTTTTTCTGTATCATGCCCGATATGAGCACGGCAACGGCGCCAGCCACGTGCGGTGACGCCATCGAGGTGCCATTCATCAGCTGAGAATAACGCAGCGTGAAATTTGGCACCGACGTTATGGCACCTCCTGGTGCGCACACGTGCACGCCAATACCGCCATCTATCGTCGGACCACGGGACGACCAAGTATAGGGGCTACCTAAAATTATTTTACCAACATTATCGAAAAACACAACTTGGTCAATCGTTAAAATTACAAGACTTTTTATTTTCAGATAATGAACCTCACCTGGCAATTTCTGTCTTAAGGCATACTCGGCAATCATCATATCAGGAGAGACATATGCCCCCACACTTATAATAGGTTCCTGACTAATATCGGAGGGCGTACTGATGGTGCCCAATGCAGGGCCGTTGTTTCCAGCTGATGCAACCCAGGTAACTCCATACTTATTAACAACATCGTTTAATAATTCACCGATGCGCCTTAAAAACAACGTTATCAAAATCCAGAACTAGTAATTTAAAGAAAAATCCTACCCAGCATCTACCCAGTGCGCATGCTCGCCGTAACTCATATTAATTACGTGCACAGGCTGCGTCTCTCTGAGCTCCATTATTTTAATCATAGCCCTGACCAGGGCAGTACCAGTTTCCATTGAGCCCAATCTGCCATCTCCTATGGTTAGGGAAACTATTTGGGCTCCAGGGGCTACACCATTCAAATCAGGGCTATCTGGGAAGTATGCCGAGGCTATTGACGCCACGTGAGTGCCATGGCTTGCTAAAAAAAGATTGATATGAATTTTCAATTGTTTTTTTTTAATTTTCTGAGGTGTTTTGACGTTTTAGAGTATATTTCGAGTTCTAATTGACCGATTTGACCAAACAAGCACTTAAATCAAAGGTAATTAAGCCATCTACAACTTTCTCTTGTATAGTTTTGGTAACTGCTCAGTAGTTCGATACTGGCGATTTTATGAAGTTGAAAAAGTCCTTTTTTTACAATACCCTATTGAAAATGCCATATAGAACCATATAAAAACACGTATCTGGATTCTATATGGTTTCTATCTGGTTCAATATAGGTATTTGAAACAGGCATTTCACTATAGAACCAGATAGAAGATTACATTATAGAACCAGATAAAAACACTTTAAAACACTATAGAACCAGATAGGGAAACCTATCTGGAAATACATATAGAACAGAAACCAGATAAATCCATATACATCCATATACATGTCTTTATAAAGACATGTATATGGTTGTATATGGATTTATCTGGTTTCTGTTCTATATGTATTTCCAGATAGGTTTCCCTATATGGTTGAATATGAAAATTTTTAAAATGGAAATCCATATTCAACCATATAGATTTCGTAATGTAAACCAGGACTTTCCATATAGGACCTATAAAACCATATAGAACCAGATACGTTTCCTTATCGGATTCAATATGGGTTCTATATGGCATTTTCAATAGGGTAATCAAGGTCGAAAATTTACATATCTTTCTGGGAAGGATAGAAATCGAAAAGATAAGTCCAGTTTGATTTATTTTACGTATAGATTATACTTAAAGGAAAAAAATAAGGTGCTGTTGATAAAAATCCATGGATAAATGGCAAAGTTATGAATTTTTCAGTGAAAGACCAAAATTCAGTTTTTTCGAGAATTTTTATGTTTTTTCATTTTATTGAGTTATATAAAGTTTAATATTGAACATTGATTTTTATTTTAAACATTAAATATTGAAATTAAATTATATATTGAATATTGAACAATAAATATTGAACATTGAAGATATTGAAAGTTTTATTTTGTTGTAATAAGCATAGGTTTAAAAAAAATCTGGCTCCTTTTTTGTTTTTTTTTGCTTTCGTATTCCGTTTCTCGTATAAGGGACCAAATGTAATCACCCATCATGGCTCCATCCCAGAAGCGGTGATACCGCCGCTCCATAGCCTTCATTTGCTGGTGAAAACGTTCTCCGTGCTCATCACTAACGTCGCTTAGATTGTCCGGGTTATTTACGCACTCGAAATCTCTACTTCTTTTACACTTTTTACTAACTAAATAAAACCATGATAAAAATACTCTGTTAAAATATCAAAAAAAAGAAGTAAAATGTCACTATGCCAACACGAGAAACAAAAGAATTCACGTTTGCGGAGTCATATCAAATTTAAATTTTATATAATGTTTTCGGTGAAAAAAGTACGTAAAAAAACTTAAAAAATTATTTCATCATGCACTTTAATTAGGTTTTCATTAAAAAATAAACATATTACGAAATAAAAGAAAAAAAATAAAATAAAAATCGTCAAAAAGCTGAATTCTGGTCTTCCACTACAAAAATCATAACTTCGCCATTTTTTCATGTATTCAGTAGCTTGTTTTTTTTTAATGTCAGCTTTACGAAAAAAAATCCAAACTGGAGTAATCTGTTTGATTTAAACGATATGTAAATTTTCTACCTCAATTTTTGCCATAAAAATTTATTAAGTTATTAAAATCGCTAGCGTCAAAATACTTATCCGATATCAAAAGTATTTAAAATAAAGTTTTAGAGGGCCCAAATACCTTCAATTTAAGGGCTTGTTTGACCAAATCGATTAATTAGATTTCAAGCTATACTCCAAAACGTCAAAACACCTCCGAAAATTAAAAAAAAAACAATTGAAAATTCATATTTCAAAAACGCATTCCATAAATTTTTTTTTTTTGTGATTTTCCTGGTTAGTGGGTCAAAATACATGGAAAAATTATAATGGGATATGGTGGGAAGAATTTTTTTTCGATTTTGTTAACTAGTGTTATTGTATTTATTATATAACTATACTTACAGCAAACCCCTACAAGTTCCAATATATTTCCATTATCATGAACATTCATGCTGAAGTTTAATTGGTCAATTTCTGTAAGAGGGGCGTAATCATGGGTAATACTATATTCTCCTAATAAGGGGCACTTTGATAAATCACCATCATCCGTTGTATCAACACAGCAATACCAAGTTGAACCATCTTTAAACAAAACACAATCATATACCGGGCCAGAGTCAGAATATCTTTTCTCCATGTTGTTCAGTATCTCTAACTTTGCTTCTATGTCCTCTTTTTCAAGCTTTTCCATGTCATTTATGTTTAAGGCTATTTAAAAAAAATTATAATTAAATTAGTCAATTTTTTTGAGCTATTATTCAAAAAATTGCTTAAATGATAGCTTTATTCCACTTGTAACTTACTATTGTGTTTTGATTCAAAATCATTCAGCTGTCTTGTTATACTTGCTATACTTTTTCTCTGGTTATCATCCCAATGCTTTTTTTTATATTCCTGTTTGACACGGTCCTTAAGTCTATCAGGGTATAAATCAAAAGCATGTTTAACTCCTATTCTATAAGTTCCTTGAGGATTTTTCCAAGATGGTGGAATCTAAATATACAATAAGCTAGTAGGTATGTAGATCATAATTACAACAATTTTATTACTTTTAATTTTTTTCCTGTTAACCCAGTAATGTAACCATCCACAGGGGTTACACTGGTGCTTGTATTAACATCAGCACAACCACTGCAGTCGAATCTATGTATAACTTTGACTTTCCCATCGGAAGTTTTCTAAAAATCAGTACATTGAGATATGTACTACTTATTTATATAATAATTTACTTGTAAACCAGGGGCACCAGGATCAATTCCGGAATCTAAAATTGCTATAACTGTCCCTCTTCCATCATAAGTTGGAAATTTTGATAAAAAAGATACAACTCCAGTTTCCTTTTTGGGAAGTAAGCCCCATACAGGGAATTCTTCCATTGGTTCTTCACTCATTTTAAAATTACAAGAAAAGCTAAAAACATCAACAAATATATTCAATTTTGATGTGTAAGCACTTTTTTCTAACCTAGAAAATTTAATTATTGCCTATATAAGCGTATATTTCAATGAAAGGGAAGCTAATGTAACATATAATTACCTTGATTGTATTTGTATATATCTACAGAGAACAATAAATTAATAATAAATTGATTTTAAAGCAATTAAGCCAATTATAACCTTTATACAACTGTATACGTCAAGTTTGACACTAGTGACAATTTGATGAAGTAAACAAACTTCAACGCCACAGCCACAGCCACTCTTCTCGTAAGTAATCGATAAAAATTCGTTTAAATACTCGTTTAGATTTAAATCTTTATTGTATTATTTATTTGCGTTTCTTAAACCACCATAGATAATAATTATTTGCGTTTTGTTACCTTTTAGGCCTCACAAATACTTTGATTCTTCCGTGTAAAACCGTACGTGTAAACATACCATTAAAAAAACGGTATTTGTTTAATTTTATATGTCTTGGTGTTTATTTTAAGTGCACCACAGCAGTTAAAGCTTAATTTTAACTATATCTGCCCCCACTTTCAATTTTGATTATGTAAATTGTGTGTTTAAGTAGTGAATAAAAATAATTTAATGTGTTAAGGTCGATTTAGACGCAAGCGAGAGTATTTTGGGAAAGGAGAGTAAATAAATGGGCGGCAGATGTACAAATTAAAATAATTTTATTTGTATTGTATTACTTAACCTATGTCTTCTTACAGTATAACACATTTGATAAATAAATCGAACGATGAGAAAGAAAATGACACGAAAAAATATAAACTAAATAAATTAAAATCTAAATACAACAGTATATATTAATTATCTGTACATTCGTAATATTATTACTAGATAAATTAAAGAACACTGTCATTAAAATTTAGTAAAGCTGGTAAGGAATTGTACATCTGGTGTCAAAAAATACATACATATACTTAATTAAATAACTGACTCTCTTTGAAATAATCGTCGACTTGACTTTTTCATTTTTCTGTATGAACACTCCGATTGCAAAAATTCTTAAATGCGATTAAAACAAATGGCAGGAAACAATGGTAGAAGCATTTAGCGTGGCTGATTATAGTCTAATGCACTTTCACTTTTCACATCAGTCCAAAAGGATGATATGCACAGCAATGGGTAAAATGAATTGAGTTACTTGACTCTTTGACAACGCTCGTTTACGATTTAATGAACGTATCAAGAGTCGTTGATGCAGGACTGGGTCCTGCTAGAGAAGGGATAATACTTGGTCCTATTTTGGGGGCTCAACTTCCTGGAGCCGATGTGGGATTAGCCTCAGCTAACGCAGTCTCGACGTTACGTCTGTGAGTTCCAACCAACTCTGGTAGATCGTAGGCAATCGCTACATCCAATCTGTTGATTGGACAGCCTCTGAAATACGTGCAAGTTGCCGACAATTGTTGAAAATCGTACAAAGGATTTAACTTGAAGAACTCCTTGTATACATCTGGATCTGGCAGATCGTAACGAGAGATGTTCGTTAATGTTGAGAGACCTTCGTAAATGTGGTAATCTTGTGGGTGTTCGATTATAGCATCGGCTACTTGCTTGCGGTTTCCAAATACTGATTTGTGGTTGTAGTATGTCGTTAGGTAACAGTCCACCATCTTTGCGTGATTACGTACACGGACCTATACACTTTTATGTAAAAATTTTATCAAAAAAACTACAATAATACTTACAGCGAATCTTCGTGCACTGGCTATCCTATTTTCAATTCGTTTATCAATAGCTCCTCGTAAATCTCTTAGGAAAGCCCTTTCTTGCGCCTGCAAAAGCCTGACTGGGGCCCAGGATTCGTATGGCCTGGACCATAGCGAAGTAGTGTACATTATTGGTGGTTGTGGTGATGACATTAATGGCGAAATATTCCAGATTAAAGCTCCTTGCACCCTCATCAACTCTTCTGGTTTCACTTGGTCGGCTTTATTCAAAATTATCCTTGTCTGTAATAAAATTAATTGGAGAGAATTGCATTTATTTAATGTTGGGCATTTACCTGATGTTCCCTTCCCTTAAGTTGGTCTAAAATAGCCTCAGTTTCTGGTCCTACATCAAGTTTAGAAGGATCGTAAACCAAGAAAATAATATCAGCTCTGTCAATAAACCACTGGCAAGCATCATTGAATGGAAATACTCTTGAGATCTGTTTCCTTACTTCCAGAATTCCAGGAATTTCCACAATGTTAACCTAGTAAATTATTTAAATGTAAAAAATATGTACTAATAGATTTGGTGTTTGACAAACCTTTTCTAACAATTTTGATGGCAACTTAACTCCTCTTAAACGTTCTTCCAAACCTTGTCCAAACTTCTGCAAACCGGAGAATGTGAAATCGGCGGCCATCTCAGTACCATCGACTACTTCGGGCTCATTACCATGCATCAAAATGTTGAAGTAGGCAGGAGAAGGTTCAGCACCTAAATTTAGAATGTAAAAACGACCCCGAAACCTATTTCCAACATACCTGTCCTCAAAGACGTCTCATTGAATTCGTTGTTAGTCAAATAATTGACAATAGAAGATTTACCTCCGCTCCATGGTCCCATAAAAAGAATCAAAGGTTTAGAGAAGATTTCTGCATCTCCGAAATGTCTGTTGCTGAGATCTCTGTATTTATACAAAACTTCCAAAGGCTTAATAGCATTTTCGTACAACTTCTTAAGTTCCTTTAAAGTTACATCAGAAACTTTGTTGATAATATTCTCGGTATCAGTGGAATCTTGATCGATTTTCAAAAGCTGTTCAACGTGATCCCTTGATCTGAGATCGTCAGGGATTTCGATATCCAAAGTAAGTTCATCTTCTGGGGCTTCTTCAGCACTCTCACCATCGCCCTCCTCTGCACTTTTTTTTTCATCATCTTCGGCACTTTCTTCAGTGTCTTCCTTGCTGGTCTTATCGTCCTCTACGCTTTCTTTGTTTTCTTCTGAGGCCTTATCATCTGAAAAATAATAATTATTGTTAAAATGTAACAATTTAAAAAAAAATAATGTTTTACCTTCTTTTGTTTCTTCAGCTGATACGTCACGCTTTTCTCTGGCGGTTCCTTCATCTTGTTCTTTAGGTTCAGCTTCTTCTTTGCTTTCCTCAGCACTTTCAGCCTTGCTGTCTTCGGCTTCCCGACTTTCTTCCTTCTTTTCTTCCTCCTTGCTTTCGCCCGCTTCTTCAACACTTTCTTCTTTGGTCTCTACAGATTCTTTTTGTTCTTCTGCTTCCTCTTTGCTTTCAGCTTTATCCTTATCTTCGGAGCTTTCTTCCGCTTTCTCTTCTTCTTTGCTCTCACCTTTCTCTTCCTCCTCATCTACTTTCTCGGGTTGCTCAGCGCTTTCTTCCCTAGTATCGGTTTCGTTAGCTTGTTCTTTGCTTTCTTCCTCCTTGTTTTCGGTATCTTCTTGACTGTGAGCTTCTTCTTTGCTGGCTGCTTCCTCTTGTTTTTCTTCGGTTTCGGTGGATTCTGCTTCAGTGGCTACAGCTTCGTCTTCTTTGCTAGCTGCCGAGGCTTCTTCGCTTTTTTGGTCGTCTTCTTTGCTGCCTTCTTCATCCTAAGATTATAATTTGTATGATTAGTATTTGTTTATAGTTGTTTTGTTTTGTTTACCTTTGGGTCGTCGTCTTTCACTTCATCAGTAGCTGCTTCGTCGTCGCTTTTTGCTTCCTGCTCATCTACCTTAAAATAAATATGGTTCAGTAAAATGCCAGGTAACAAAACGTTTTTTGGATTGGGTCCAGGAATGTTTAACATGCTCAATAAATAGTTTGAAATCGATTTAAATTAAATGAAATACCTTTTCTTCGGATTGTTGTGGTTCAGCATCAAGTTCATCTTGCGTATCAGGTTCGATTTCGGTCTCGATACTGGCGTTATCTCCGTCTTCCGTTTGGTTTTGATCGGAGTCGTCTGTAGTGATTTCGATGGTTGGTAAATCTTCCTTGCTATCTCCTCCACTTTCCGTGGATTCGGCGCCTTCCGCACCTTCCGCACCTTCTCCAATTTCCAGCTCCTTTAGGGCCTTCTCGATGTAAGGCCTGCATTCGGATTCTGACGGGCCTTCAGGCTCAACCTCTCCTTGCACACCTAAAATATTACAATTAATGATGAGCTGAGATCTATTTAATAATCGATATTTTGGTCACGTCTCGCTCAACACCAATGATGAAGCCCGAAATAGATGACCTTGTTTCTGGTTAATAGTCAAGGCTATCCAAAATATCCAACGTGCATCTATCAAATTTTCTGCTTGAAAATAGTGTAAACCTATCAAAATCGAGTTAACTCGCTTTTCAACGCATTAAGAAAATTAAAAACAACGATAAAACCAGATATTTTCCAGCTCGTTAAAATTTCAGTCAATCATGAAATTGATTGCAAACCAATTTTCATATCGAATTTAATTGTTTTCTGAAATAAACGGTTTTATGATGAATCATTATATATGCAAGCTCTAATATTTTATATACATGCATGTTTATAAAAATTAACCGAAAGTTTATTTAATTAAAGTATATGTTTACTTGTGAACCGATTGTGTGGTTTTCATCGATTTGAAAGTTAATGCAAAAAAGATATAATTAAACCGACTTGTCTATTTTTATCTGTAATAGTGCTAAATTTAGGTCGAACAGATGTTTTTGCCTAGCATCGGTGAGTTTAGTGATTAATATTAAATAATTATTAAGGATAGGGCAGTGATATAAAACGATTTATAGATTTAATGTCGTAGTCGAGTCTAAATATGTAGCAGTCTTGTCTAGGGTAACCCAAAGCTGGCGTTTTGCCTAAACAGTTATTTGCATTGGGATCTAGCTACTTTTAGACAAACGATTTTGCAAAATTAAAAATTTTACACCACTTAATATAAATTTATTTTCTTTGATTGTAATACTGACATATTTATGGCACAATAAGTTATTTTTAGCGACATACCTACGAAATTGTAGTACTTTGTTTTAAGAAATATATGTATTAATAGATAAAATTGTGGTGAATTTTTATTATTAGAAACCTGGTTAATCCAAAAATAACATATCAAAATTATTGAGCAAAAAATAATGGCCGCCAAAATTACATAATTATATTTATTATATTCACTGTTTAAAAAATCCTCCTCAACATAATCAACGCAAAGATATCTGTACATAACCTTAACCCACGCACTATCACCAAAATGCTGATTTTTGCACTTTTTAACCACCCGCTCATTTATTACCCTGCAAGGTAGTGGCGAGAAGGGACACTCCAAGAAGCAGCAATAGCCATGAGGACCTCCGGTAGACCTCCATGGCTCTTCTCACTACACAGGTCACATAAAAGTCCCGTACTGAATACCCAGATTACTTCGGACCAACCATCAAATTCAACGTCGGCTCTCAGTAGCGCCGATCCAAAAATATCATTTCCACACTCTATCCAACTATTCCCAAACTCAATACGCCCCACTGATCGCTTTAATTCGTCTATTTGGACCCCAAAACACCCCACCTACTGATACCGTCTAAGGACTTTTTGGAAAAAGCTAATCCACAAATTTTTATTTTTGATGGCATAGCGATATCGCTGTATTTATTGATTCATTTATAAGTTAAATTAAGAATACTGAATTTTTTTTCAAAAATATTAAGGAACAATAAAAATATAGCGTTATTTAGTAAAATTTTACAACCGAGTTGGGGGTTTAATGGTTAATTAATTTTGTTTAAATTTCATGCGACGCCTCTGTTTAACGACGCTGTTCGTAAAAACGTCGTTTATCGAATTCATTAAGTTGCGCGCATATCTTAAGTAACAGTGCTAAGCTATTAGGTCTCATTCATTTGCAAACCTTTAACCCATTACGATTGACCAAATTTTTTGCAATTTATTCGAGATTTTAGTGAGTTTTTTTGTCGAAAATTTATTTTTATAGTTTAACCCCATTATAAGGATCTATTTTTGAATTCAATTACAAATATTTATTTTTGGGTTTTTACGTTGAGGTGGTTTGGAAATTAAACGCAAAGTAGTTTTATAGGTTTTATTCAAAAATATATAATGTAATAAAAGTCCATTGACTAGGAAGCAATACTCAGGAATTTAATTAAATACTAAAACGAAAACACAACCCATGATTTAAGTACTTAAAAAATCAATCCATTTAAATTTAGGTGTTTTTTAGCATATCTAACATATCGTAAGATAAAGCGCGGTCTTTTTCTATATGCGTTACATTAAACGTGAACCAAATACCTATAGCACACCTACTTCCAGATTTAACTGCTTTGACTCCATGCAAATTCTCCTGTCCGGATGAGAAAGCCACCATTCTGCCGCATTTTGGCTCGACTGAACTCTAAATAAAAACATTAAAATTTTTTGCTGTACGTTGCTTCATTTTATACCTGCACATCCTCCCCTAGCAAATCATTCGAAAAAATAAACTCGCCTCCTTCAAAATTACTGTTCAGATAGAGTATGGCGCTGTAGTCCCTCCAAAAAAAGGCAGGGGCCGTTTTTTCGCACACCCCATCCTCCAAAATGTTGCAGTTATCGGCGTGTATTTGATGACTTAAGTCCGTCCTGTTCAGCGAGGGATCTAAGAAACATTCGCGTTAGTCTAAGTGTGGGTTTCGAGTGTTGTTATGTAACCTGACAGGGCAGATCGGCATACTAAGTGTGTGTAACTAAAATGTAACTCGTCGTTCAGTTTAAAGTAATTTTTGACTTCTCGGCGCACGCTCTCGGTTATTCGGAGGTAAATTTCGAGGTATTTCGTGTCTAAAAGCCCGACGTACGTTAGAAACGCGGCCCTTCCTAACGTGATGCCGTGAAACGATTCCCTTTCGGTGTGCGGCGATTTTTTTCCTTTGTACCCGTCGCCCAGCACCGCGAAAATTCGGGCGATTGCGATAAGCGATTTGCATTCTCTTCTGCTTGCCAGGCCATCCGATAAAAATCTCTTCGGGCCCCGCAGTTGTTTTTCGTTCGCAATATTTCGCTTGCTACCTGTCTGGTGAATTAAGAGAAGTATACAGCACAGAACTAACTTGTTCATGTAAAAAACGGATGAATTTTGAATGTTTTTAGTTTGTTGTGTTTCGGCCGAAATCTTTACCGTATGTTAGTTTTGTTATACTAGCAACAAAAAAATATAAGAACAAATACATTTATTTAAAAAAAAACGTATTACATTAAACACTAAACTGTTGTTAATATCTTAGATACAAACTTAAATTATTTATTTACAAAGATTCCCAACAAGCATAGTTGAGTCAGGCAGTGTTGACAGATTCAGACCCACTCTGAGAGTTGTTCTCCTGCAAGTCAAAGATTTTGTTAATTTATAGCTTCATGCCCAAAATAAAAAAAAATAGCAAAAACAATAATTACACTAGTTTACAAATTCGAAAAAAAATTCTGCCCACCATATCCCATTATAATTTTTCCATGTATTTTGACCCAATAAACACGAAAATCAAAAAAAAAATTATGGAAGCGTTTTTGAAATATGAATTTTCAATTGTTTTTTTTTTAATTTTCGGAGGTGTTTTGACGTTTTTTAGTATAGCTTGAAATCTAATTGATCGATTTGGTCACTTTTGATATCTCATAAGTATTTTGACGCTAGCGATTTTAATAACTTAAAAAATTCGTTTTTATGGCAAAAATTGACATATCGTCCTGGGAAAGGTTTAAATCAAACAGATAATAACTCCAGTTTGAATTTTTTTTCGTGAAGCTGACATTTTTACAAATAAAACAAGCTAATGTTGATAAAAATACAGGAAAAAATGGCGAAGTTATGAATTTTTTAGTGGAAGACCAAAATTCAGCTTTTTGACTATTTTTATTTTATTTTTTTTATTTTATTTCGTAATATGTTTATTTTTTAATGAAAACCTAATTAAAGTGCATGATTGGAATTTTTTAAGTTTTTTACGTACTTTTTTCACCGAAAACATTAATAAAATTTAAATTTGACATGATTCCGCAAACGTGAATTCTTTTGTTTCTCGTGTTGGTATAGTGACATTTTACTGCTATTTTTTGATATTTAAACAGAGTATTTTTATCATGGTTTTATTTAGTTAATAAAAAGTGTAAAATAAGTAAAAGAAGTGGAGAGTTCGAGTGCGTAATAACCCGGACAATCTGGGCGACGTTAGTGATGAGCACGGAGAACGTTTTCACCAGCAAATGAAGGCTATGGAGCGGCGGTATCACGGCTTCTGGGATGCAGCCATGATGGGTGATTACATTTGGTCCCTCATACGAGAAACGGAATACGAAAGCAACAAAAAACTAAAAAGGAGCCAGATTTTTTTTTAAACCTATGCTTATTACAACAAAATAAAACTTTCAATATCTTCAATGTTCAATATTTATTGTTCAATATTCAATATATAATTTAATTTCAATATTTAATGTTTAAAATAAAAATCAATGTTCAATATTAAACTTTATATAACTCAATAAAATGAAAAAAACGTAAAAATTCTCGAAAAAACTGAATTTTGGTCTTTCACTGAAAAATTCATAATTTGCCATTTATCCATTCGATCAACAGCAGCTAATTTTTTTCCTTTAAGTATAATCTATCTTCGATTTCTATCTTTCCCAGATAGATATGTAAATTTTTGACCTCGATTTAAAAAAAAAGGACTTTTTCAACTTCATAAAATCGCCAGTATCGAACTACTGAGCCAATACCAAAACTATACAAGAGAAAGTTGTAGATGGCTCAATTACCTTTGATTTAAGTGCTTGTTTGGTCAAATCGATCAATTGGAACTCGAAGTATACTCTAAAACGTCAAAACACCTCAGAAAATTAAACAAAAAAAAGAATTGAAAATTCATATCTCCATGAAAAAAAATTTTAAGTGTGATTTTCGCGTTTAGTGAGCCAAACTACACAAGAAAATAATAGTGAGACATGGTGGGAAAAATGGCTGTAAACTAGTGTTATTAAAAACCAAACAACCAAGTTGGTTTTGGCATCTGCGGAATTTTGTTAATGTCACAGTTATTGTAAATATGCGCCGGAAAAATAATTAATATGATATCACACCAATGAGTTATGATGTTAATTTTGTACACCGAAACCTAAATGAGTATAAGTCACTTACTTCTTCATCAATTTGTGTAACACCAATGTTTCTATACTCATGATTAACAAAATTCATTATTTTATTTTCGTAGATTTTACGTTGGACGTACTTCACAGCTTCCTAAAATTAAAATATTAATAATAATATTAAACTAAACAAAAAACAACCTCTCTTGGTCTAAAATCTTCATTGTCAACTTTTGGGAGAGATCTGTAATACTTCATATTATCCAACATGGTTTCATCATCAGGAAAAAATAATAGATAACTTGCCACTGCCTGGCAAGCTTCCTTAATATTACCCACTACAAAATAATAATTTAAAAAAATACAACCTATAAAAACAACACAATACTTTTGAAATAGGCATACTGAAGATAGTGGTAGTGACTAGGTAGAAGGTCGTCGTGTTCTTCTCCGTTTAATGTGTTCAACTTTTCGCTACAATCCATTTTACATTTCAAAACCATCGTGAAATGATCTAAAACATAAAAATTTACCAGTTTCTTCCCAATAAACAATTTGTACTACTTATGGTAACAATAAATTATATAAAGGTTTTATAAGAGTTGTCAAATAATATAAGAGTTTAACAAGGTTTTATAAAATCGCCATTTAGTTTACTAGTTTTATAATGGTCTTATAAGGTTACTGCAAACTCTAGGTATATGTATAATTAGGTTATGCAATTGTTTCCACAAATATTTTATATAACCATTAGTAACCGTTACCAGTAGGTTTATAAAGGAGTTATTAAGTAATATAATATTATTAACATAAATATTTTAAAAGTGGATTAAATCGATTGTTTAGTGAAATTCCATTGCGTTAAAACTATTATTACTATAGGCAAAAATGGCGAACCTGACAACACTATCCTGAGCGGTTAGATGGTTGCCTATAAAAAGTTTTATAACATCACTTGTATTAACGACGGTTACTACAATGTATATAAGTGTTTCAAAATTATATAATAACACTTTAAGTAACTTCGATAGTCATATAAAACTGAACTATTACCTTAGGTTATATAAAATTACCATGAGCAATATAAGAAACCAAGGTAAAAAATGAACTACTTTAATCTAAGCAAAAAAAGATATTACTGTATTTAAAAAAAAAATCATATATTTTTAATAGTATAAAAAATATTTATGTTCTGGTATTTTGATGTCCCCTGCTGTTTTTTGCACTTTAAGTCGTATTGAGTAAAAAATCTTAGATTTAAATTATATACCATTAATATTTTCGACATACTTGGCTTCTTAAAATATTCAAGTGGTTTAAACAAGTTAATGAATAAGATGACAATAAGAAATATAGCGTACCATATATGAAGAAATATATATTTTAAATGTGCCTGAGGAAAAGAGAAATATTAAAAGAAGGAAAAAAGCCGGCAACAGTTCTTTAGGAAGTTATATAGTGGTTTCCATAATATTCCTGTTATCTCTATAGTTATAAAACTTGGGTTTTATATTTACTAAAATACGTACCGATAACCTTCATAAACTCCCCAAATAAGCTCTTTAAGGGGTATATAATGGTGATATAAATATTTCTGTATCCAAATTAAGAAATTTAGGTTTTATAATTTGGATGATATAACATACCACTATAAAAACAAAAATATTTATTGGGTTGTAATTGATTTTAAATGATTTTACTACAAAGTGCTCTGATATTTTAATTTATAAAAAATAAATTTTTATTAACTTTAAATAATATATTTTTATACGTTTCCTTTTCTTTTATTTTTTTAATAAAAAAAATCTGTGGCAAGCGAGCCATTTACCCCCTTACACACGTATAGTATAAGTGTAATATAAAGTGTTTAAGTGTGTCTGGAACACATAAATAATTTATTGGAGTCAAACTCAACCGTAGTTAATTTTTATCAGCATGCTGAATCCAAACCAATTAATTTTTAAACTATAAAACTTAATTCTTATGTCATAAAATTAATATATTGTTACAAAAAACAACTTTGGGCTTTAAAACTGATGTTTGGCATAACACTTGTTTTTATGGTGCATTTAATATGCGAGTCCAAAACATCATGATAACAAAACGCATATTAAATGCAGTCATTTACTTGCTATAGATGGAATAAAGTCGGGATACCATCCGTGGTCAAACGGTCCTTCGCAACCGGCCCTGCATTCTTCCTCAGCTTGCAGATACAATCCCAAGGACTCCTCCATGTTATGTTCAACATTTTTCCAGTCTTTTTTGTTGTAGGCGTCAGCCCCGTGCGCGTATAGGTAGACGAAACTTTTGGCTTCAAAATTGACTATATCATCGGATTTTACACCTTCGACTTGCGTGTAGTGTTTTAAATTTCCCTGCATTGCCTTATCATTTGGATGAGTTACTAAGTAGGTAAAAGCTGCTGATGCGGCTTTTTGGTATTCTTTGGTCTGTAATAAGAATCAAATTCACGAAAGTGTTGTATTTCTTGCTTTGTTTTGTAATCTATTTTTGTTTGAAACGCAATTGTTAAAATTTATGTTTATAGCTAATAATTATTAGCTATTTTAAACGCTATTTTCAGATAATAATAATTTTTTCTAACAGTTCCGGCTTATCAACATTAAAAATGATAATTTTTTAGGTCAAAATCCGTTAAAATAAAACGACTTTCAATATATAAAAATAAATATGTTTTGTCCATTAAATTTTCTTACATCATCATACATAAATGGCTGGAGTTAAATTCAATTCAATTGATGACTTGCTGTGTTTGATCTTTGATTTTCAATTTAAATATTTAAAATATTATCAAAGATTCTTTGAAGTGAATATTTACCTGAAAATAACAAATGTGAAGATATTCGTATGGTTTTTGATCTTCGAAAAGTTGTTCGGTCTCGAAGTTCATCTGCGTTCCATTGAAAACATCGGCATTTTCTGTTTTACAGTGCATTATGCACAGAGTGTTCTTAATTGCTCTTTCGTAAAACAGCAAATTTTCGACGTCCACTCTAAACAGAGGATCCGATGTATCCGCCTCCTGTTTACATTTCAATCGGCAGTTGTTCGTCACTTTCTTGTACAACTGGTATTTTTGTACAGCTTCTTCGAAATTTTCTACACATTCTTGATAGTCGTTGTCCAGGTAAGCTTCCACGCCTTTTTCGTACAAACGGACACAGGATTCATTGGAGTTTGTTTGAAAAGTCAAAACATCTGCGATTAAGAAATTGACGCTTATTAAATAACACGTGGTCTTGAAGAGCATGATTCAACAGACGCGTTCTGAGTGACTGAGGCACATCTTTCATATTATTTTCTGTATCCCTGCTTACTGGCTGGTGTTAAACTCGGTGCGTTTTATAGTCTTATCTGGTTTCTATTTTAAAGCATTAAACTACGCCTCTGCACTGGTAATACACCCAATACATTTTATTTTTATTGTTTCCACAATAATGATAATTATTATTCATATGTATTTATTAAATATGTAGGTTGTTTAGAGAAATAGCAGAAATGTGTAGGTTTCATTAAAATTAGTAGGTTGTGCTAATGTTAAAAAAGTCTCTCCCTTTAGAAAACAAATTTTATAGTTTAAATTTTTGTTCTATTCTAAATCAACATCAAAAACTTCTTTTAGAATAAAACAACAATTTTTATTATATTTTTATCAAATAAATCAATTATAATTATATTGTTTGTATTTTTTTATCAATAAAGTTTCCCAAAAATATTAGTCTCTTCCTTATAAAGAATAATTTTTCTAGACCCCCTCACTATAGTGTTATAACAAAGGGATTTTAATGCAAAATTTGAGTCTCTTGAAAATTGGGGGCTGTCTCTCCTTCCCTGATAGCAAAATTTGATTTTAAGAATCTTCTAAGAAGATATGATACGGAGTAATGGAATATTCTTAGAACCTTCCCTTATTGCTAAGAATGTTCTTAGGGATTTTAAAACTTTCAATAGATACCCTTTTAATGATGCAATTAGATTTTTAAAAGCTTCTTAAAACCTTCCTAAGAACATTTTAAGAATACTTTTTTGGAATGTTCTTAGAAGGTTTCTTATGGAGCTTCTAGGAAGATTTTGAGAATATTTCCAAATATGTCAGATACCCACGTTCTAATATGTTGTATTCTACATTCGTAAAATTCTTCAGGAGACGACAAATACGCCTCACTGTCATAATATGTATTTGTCGTCTCCTTAAAAAATTTTGCGACATATTAATATATATTTATTTAAAAATATTAAATTAACAATTTGATCTCTAAACCATAAGTTGTATGACATTATTTCAAAAAAAGTAAAATTGGAAAATTTTGTGGGATAAGTCAGATTAGATTGAAGTTGAAGATAGTTGGGATTATTATACATAAAAATGTTAATTCAGAAATAAAAAATCGGTATACAAATTAATAAATATTTATTTTTAACATAAAATAAAATACCTATAGTAAAAGTATTTTTGTTATCGAATATTGTTTAAATTTGACAAATAACTATAAAAAATATTTTGGATTGTGTTTTTTACTTAGTATTTAATACTAATTACTAATCAGGTACTTAAGTATAGGTATATACCTTTATACGTATGTTATGGTATATTTTACTGTTATATAGGTAACTGAACTAAATATGCTTAACAGGAATATTCCTAAATGAACTTTCTATAGCAATTACTTTCTTAACATTCCAAGCATATGTTTAGAGTAGACAAATTTTTACTACTAAAACTTCTAAGAACCTGCCTATAGGCCAGTAAGAATATTCTTAGGATCATGCTATATGTCTTTTAAGCATGTTCTTTAGAATAAATATAGCATGATCCTAAGAATATTCTCACTGGAAGGTTTAAAAAACATTCTTAGAATAAAGTGTGCTTATCAGGGTTTAAATAACTTATAAATTGGTTTAGATTTTTTGTTTAAACATAAAAAAATGTAAAACCAATTTTTATAGCCCCCTTACTTAGGTTAAATAATCTGGTTTATCATATTTTTATCAAAGACAACCATAAAAAACGTAAGACACATTTTTGTAACCCCCTTTCTTACAAAGGAGGTTAAATTCAAAATTTAAGCCTCTTAAAAACAGGTCTCTATACGTAAATAACTTTTAAATTAAATTAAAATTTCTGTGGATGTTCCAAATAAACAAAAAAATGTAAGATCAATTTGTGTAGCCCCTCCAAAGAGGATTGAATAAAAATTTAAGTCTCTCAAAAAAAGGTGTCTCTCCCTTAAATAACTTTTAAATTGGGTTCGATTTTTTCCTCAAATTTTGTATAGATGTTCAAAATAAACATAAAAAACGGTAAACCAATTGTTGTAGCTCCCCTCACTTACTAAGGGGGTTTAAATAAAAAATGTAATCATATTTTTATCAAATGAATTATAATTATTTTGAATGTATTTTGTTACCATTAAAGTTCCTCAGAATAGGGTAGATATAAAACGATATGGTTAAAAAAATATTAGTATCTTCCATAAATAACCTTTAAATAAGTTTTTTGTATCCCCCTCACTTACAAAGGGAGTTGAATGCAAAATTTAAGTTTCTAAAAACATGTGTCTCTCCCTCAAATAACTTTTAAATTGAATTAGATTTTTTGTTCAAATTTTGTGTAGATGTTCCAAATAAACATAAAACCAATTTTCTCAGCCCCCTTACATATTAAGGGGGTTAAAATAATATTTTTTATTATATTTTTAAATAACCTTTAAATGAGTTAAGGAGTTTCGTTCAGATTTTGTGTGGTTGTTCCAAATAAACATAAAAAACGTAAGACAAAGTTTTATAGCCCCCTCACTTACAAAGGGGGTTAATTGCAAAATTTAAGTCTCAAAAATAGGTGTCTCTTCCTTAAATAAATTTTGTCTACTTCTACATTGACGAGCTGTGACTTATGTACTCCTTTCTTTATTTAATGCAATATTTTAGTTTTTTAATAAAATAACATTTTTTATCACATTTTTATCAAATAAATCAATTATAATTATCTTGTTTGTATTTTTTTATCAATAAAGTTCCCCATAAAACATTAGTCTCTTCCTTATAAGGAAGAGATTAAAAAACTTCTTTTGTACAAATTTTATGTGGATGATCCAAACAAACATAAAAAACTTAAGACGAATTTTTGTAGCCCCCCACACTAACAAAAGGGTTTTAATGCAAAATTGGAGTCTCTCAAAATTAGGTGTTCAAATGTTGTGTTCGAAATAAACATAAAAAATGTAAAACCAATTTTTTCAGCCCCCTTACATATGTTTTAATATAAATATTTAAATAATTTTTAAATGGGTTAAGGGTTTTTGTTCAGGTTTTGTGTGGATGTTCCAAATAAACACAAAAAACCCCATCATTTACAAAGGGGGTTGAATGCAAATTTGAAGTCTCAAAAATAGATGTCTCTTCCAGTGCTGGATTAACCCATAGGCCAACCTAGGCCATGGCCTAGGGCGCCGCGAAGCCAATAGGCGCCCAGGCAGAAGGCTCATTTTTTTTTAAGTAGGTTGAATTTTAAAATTAATCAATTAAAATAAATAATTATAATTATCAAACGTGTAATACCATTTTTTATTTTAAAAGCACAGATCTTTTTCTAAAAATGTTCAATGCAGTTGCCTAGTAGACGAGAAGACTGCGATCTATAGAAGCAAAAGAAGTCAATAAAATAAATTTTGAAAATATTTGTCAGTCCTTTTCCGAGTTTAAATGCAGGAAAAAAAATTGTAAATCGTCGTTGATAATGCCAAAAGTCGTTTCACTTGAACGCCTTTCTGCCGAAGAGAAATATCCCACAAAAATAAAAATAAAATTATTTTTGTGCAAAAAGGCATCAAAGTGACCTTTTGCAGTATCAACGACGAAATGTTATAGGTAAAATTCTGTTTTAGGTTATTTAAAAACTGTAAAAATTAAGTTCATTGTTTTGTTTTTCTATATAAAAATGAATTATTTTTGCAGTATCAACGACGAAATGTTATAGGTAAAATTCTGTTTTAGGTTATTTAAAAACTGTAAAAATTAAGTTCATTGTTTTGTTTTTCTATATAAAAATGAATTATTTTTTTATTTATTTTTTTGTAAATTTTTTTATAAAACCCTACTATGAGCACCCCTGTCGGCTAACAGGTATTGTGTTATATTAATACCATGTAATTATAGGCGCCATTATTACTGGCCTAGGGCGACAAATTGTCTTAATCCGGCCCTGGTCTCTTCCTTAAATAACTTTTGTCTACTCCTACATTGACAAGCTGTGACTTCATCGCGTGTTAGTTACAGTGGCTTTGGGCTTTTTTAGTCACGGGCTGAAGTTAACTTTATTATAAATTGGGAAAAAGTGAGGTTAAATTCGGTTGACAGATCTCAAATTTTTAACAAATAAAATAGGCTCTAATTTCGTTTTCGTCGTAGAAAAATTATAGCAGGGTTTAAAAGTATAACAGGGTTTGAAAAATATTAGACTCTCGCTTATTATTTATAAATAATTTTTAAATGGGTTAAGATTTTTTGTTGAAATTTTGTGTAAATGTTCCAAATAAACATTAAACAAAACTATTATAAAGGGGGTTAAATCGAATATTTGTGGTTTAAAAAATTTGTAATTACTAGGTAACATACTTAGGAAAAACAACAAAACAAAAATAAACATTTTTTTGCGGTCTTATCATCAAATTAATTTGAACCCCTAACTCGGGAGTTATTTTATTTTGTGTGAAACATATCTCCCAAAATGATTATATAACTTTTGAATGGTTTAATTGAAATTTTAGGTATCCATATAAAAACGGCCCCTTAGAAGTATGTGTTTGTTTTAGTTTTTTTATTAATATTTTATATATTGCCAAAATGGCCTTTTCTTAAGGTTTAATATGGATAATGTTGAAAAAATATATTCTATGAATAAATATCTTTAATGTAACAAATTCTATTTAATTTACAAACTGTGCTACTTATTACAATTTGCCATATAATGTAGACTAATTATCATGCATACCATAAAAATAACATGAAGTTTGTTTGTCACACAACATTGAAAAAAACTAGTTTACACATTTAATTATTATTTATTTCGTTAAAAAGTAATAGTACTTACAAAGAATGACAATGTACAATTCTAACTATCGTTATATATGTATATTACATTTCAATAAACTTATGCTGAAATACTTGAATTATAGAAACTAAATCAAACACTTCAATAAAAAAATAATTATGCTTTTATCCACTTATATATTTTAATTAATTAATCTGTAAAGTCTTTTAGCAAAAGTTCACAATTTACTTGGTTTACTTGATAACAATAAGAAATTAAAAAACAATTTTGACAGAAAATTAATGCGAATATTTTTCTAACCAGTCATTAAAAAAAATAAACCACCACCTGTTGTCTATTTTGTGCACTATCTGACTCAGTGATGGTTTTCTAAATAAACCCTACAAAATTATCCCTCTTTGGTCAAACACATACAAACTTAAACTTAAAATTCAATAAGCATTTTTATAAAACAAAGTTTATAAAAAACATATTTGCTACAAAATTAATATAATATGTATGTAATTTAGGAATAATGCCTTTGGCACATTGTATAAAAAAATAAAATTACAACTGAAAATAATATAGGCAGATATTATATTGTACCGCGTATATAAGCAGTACATTATAATAACTAATGTATAACAATCTTAACAATTAATAAAAAAAAAGACAATTAATAATCCGAAAAATTCGACAAAATATAAATAAATACATAACAACAAAATTAAATAAACAAAAGTTGATCATGGATAAATTTAAATAAAACAAAACAAAATCAAAATTAATTGTTTAGATTGTGAGGTACACAAATTGAAGTTGCACATTATTAAAAACAATCGTTGTTATTTGCAAATAAGTGGTTTTTCATATTAATTACTAATTATTTGTATCACCTTAATTAATTTAATAAAAAAAAGAAGCTTAGTGAAATGGCACAAATAAATTATCCACACAAAATACTGACTTCCACACACATAAAAAAACGTACTAGTACACATTGATTGCAATTAAAATTAATTAACAAATATATTGGATTAAAAAGCCATGTTCTCAGATATTTTTTTGGTTTTTAACAAAAACACCCTGCAAGCTACTTAATTAAAAGAACATATATACAGAAAAAACAACATTGACTAAATTATGTATTTTGGTCAAAATTTAATTTTTTTTTTTGTAAAATTGTCTAGTTTATTTACAAATGAAATGATGCTTTTTAGTTTACGTGTATTTTTCTAGTTTTGTGACCAGGTTTTTCTATATTTAAGCTCTGTTCCAACATTATGATAACATTACTATTAACACCACATTAAATTACAAGTAGATATTTTGAACGACGTTCGCAAATATTCAGGTTTCCTATTTCAGTAATATAAAACCAAAATATATGCTAGTTGGAAAAAATAAATGCTTGTTTTGTTAAATTGGGTAATTTTGTGTGTTCACGCTTCAATTTATAAAATGCCTGCAAACTTCTTAAATTTAAATGTTCCGTCAACAACTGACTAAGCCAAAATATCAAACGGAATTATATTCAATATTTATCTAAAAATATGGTTACTATTTTCATGGTATTTTGTGGAAATATAATTTGAGTGATATTTTGAGGTCTCAACAAGTAACAAAAAATTAATAAGAATTAAGTAAATAATTGTACTTGTCAAGTAAAAAAAGTGTAAAAATATAAGCTAAATAGTTGATGGAAAAAACAAAAAAGACAATCAATAAATTACATACAGAACCCTACCGATCATACATCTGATAAAAAAATGCACAAACAGCAAGGCTACGCCAACCTTAGATCGGTTTTTCTATAATATAAGAGCGCCATCGAACTCGATAACGCCACCAATGTAATTATCTTAAACATCATAAAGGAGGGATAAGGGGGGGGAATAGTGGGGCCCAACTAATTGTCTTTTCACCACTGCAAACAGTCTATTGGTCACTGATGATGGTCTCTTCGGTTTTAACGTCGGCAATGCTTTGCATAGCCTTCGTCAGAACCGTCGCGTCTTTCAGAGACAACACTTGCAACACTTGCGGCGCGTCCGTCCCCGAAGTCTGTATCATCATCGAGTGCGTACCCAAGCCGCTAGGCGTCACCGTCAACGTCTCCATGTTGTCGCCATTGTTCGGCTCAACCTGCGGACAACAAGTTATTATGAGACAAACTGTTCAAATGGACAACCTGGCGTCAACAACAAAAACTGATATCTTTGTTTTGAGTGCGTTCCACCAATTTTAAATACCGACAGAAAGCTGTTTCGACCTATATTGGGTCGGGCAACTTGGTGTTGTGGAACACACCCAAAACAAAAGACTCCCTGTGCTTATATACTTGGTTGGTAAGCCAACAGAGGCGAGATGTAAGAACATCACGTAATCCGCACCGTCTAACGACAACTTTGGTGATATGTTAAACAACTATTAGAAAAGTACTTTGTGTTTTGTTTTGGTATTGGAGAATATTTCTAATATTTGTATTACATATGAGTGTTAGTGTTATCAGTAATAGCCTAACATATCAGTTTTCGCAGTGCAGTCAAAACTTTGCTAGGATTTTAATAATAAAACCCATGCAAAATTTTAAACAATAGACAATTATTAAATATTAAAACCAACTGGTATTTTAAGTAAAATTAACAACATTATTTTATTATTTTACAAGCATAAAATGAGCAAGTTGTAGTTATAATTTTTACTCGGACACAGTTATTTTTTAACTTTGAACAATTGATTAAAAATATTCTTATATTGCAAATAAATTATGAACTTAAAATACTGATGGTGTCTAACATCTCTCAACTCATGCACTATGATACATACCATACTGGTACTTAAATGTGAGGAAAAATTAAACGTCTCACCCAAAGGGGTCACTTGCTGCGCATTGGCATGCATTAATATTATGTTAGTGCGCAGTACGTGATGGTAATGCGCATCGAGCTCAGTAAATGACCCCCCGAAATCACTCTAAGGTACTTGTGCGTAAAATTGTATAAAGTTCGAGTGCGCCTAGTACCCCGGTTATTTAAATGAGTACCAGTATTGCACAACAATCAAGCACATACCTTAGGTACCTGAACTACTGGTGTAACGCAAACGGTTCCGTCGCTGTTTGTGTGCAGATGTTGAATGTTGGCCACCATTGTTTGATACATTGATGCCGAAACTGGCACTGTTATAACTCCACTCACTAAAATTTAAACGAAAAAATCCGTATTTTTAATACGTAAAATTTATGGTATATATACCATGCCCATCCTCAGCCGTAAGGATGATTTGTCCTTCGGAATTTAACGTTGCTTCTGTGACGGAGTTCAAGTCCACCACTTCACCTTGACCTCCTTCACTGATGGTTTGTATTGTGTGCACTGGCGTGCCGTCCCCTTGACCTGACTGTAACTGAGAATATAAAAACCTTATAAAAACCAACGCCGACTTGTTAGTATTGTTTGGGGATTAGTATTTGACGGACTATGGGATATGTTTTTTTTTATCGAGGGATTCTACGAAACTTACAGTGGCCATTCCTTGCACATGCGCAGTGGTACCATCAGGTAATGTAATGATGGGGTTGTTTGGATCGACTTGCACAATACTGACTGTACCATCTGGGTTGGTGATTGTGTGAAGAACCGTTGGGGTGTACTGAGCGGTTATCTGAAAATTTAATAACAAAACGTTTAGTTTGTTTTATATTTTTTCCTACGGGTGATTACGTGAAAATAAATAGAAACAAAACCAAGCTAATCAGGCATAAAGTAAACAATAATCTCGTATAAAATATAACATTTGTACTAATCATGCGTGAATGTCTACCAACATCAAAAAATAATAATACAAACAGAGCAGCAGGTACAGTCAAATGTATATTTTTTATCAAGCGCGCAAAACGCACGAATTACAAAACTGTTTGTAGTTAATTTATTACATATTTTGGCTTCAAAATTGTCAAAAATATTCTTCTTTTATTAGGCTATGCATTAAATAAAAAAACGCAAGAAATATTTTATAAAAGTAGAGATAATTCTAATAATTGAAGAGTGTGGACGTGACAAAAAAAGATTTATCTTGTCCCGTCCACATTTGTCAATTATTAGAATTATCTCTACTTTTACAAAATATTTTTTGCGTTTTTTTTTATTTAATGTATAGCCTAATGAAAGAAGAATATTTTTGATAATGTTGATGCAAAAATAATATATATAAATTACATACAATTTTTTTTATAAAAGCAGTTTTGTGATTTTTCCCGTCCGTACTTCTGTACTTATAAGTACAAGTACTTAAAAACCTTTTTTTTTTAATGTATTGAGTACCGCACAGCTCTAGATACGAATAATAAAAATGTGTAAATTAATAATAAAAAAAAATAAAATAAAAAGACACATTTATATTATAATTTAGTACACACATCGACGTCTGAACTATAGCCGGCAGGATCAAGGCAGACCTGCGTGGATGAGCCCGATAGATCAGGCGACGTGGCTATAATTTGCGGCGAGCCGTTAGCTTGAATTTGTATCTTATGAGTGGGCACCATGCCCGACGTGTGCATTTTTAATACACCAACTGAGGTACTGACATTGGCGTTGGCCGTGGCGGCCGCGTTGGCCTTCTCGTCCTCTTCGGTGAAGGCTGGCAACAAGTCCTCCCTGCCATGGAATTTGTAGCAGTTTATCACAATCTGCCTCAGCGCGTGGGTCCAAGATATCTAAAAGTAAGCAAATTAACATAAAATATGTGTGTTTGAAAAAAATGTAATAGTTACTTTTTGTTTCTCGTCTTCGCTTCTGGCGTCCATGCGCACGTTAGCCCAGGGCAACTCCTTGGGCCACCACGGCGGTCTTGTGGATTCCCTGCCCCATCCGGGTTTGCCTCTACCAGTGGAGTACTTCAGCATGAGAGGGATGAACGCCCTGAGTTGGGCTTGCGTCATTTTCTCGACCGGCGTGGGTATGCCGTCGATGATTAGAGGCGGTAACTCGAACAAAGTTGGGTCGTCTTGTATTGGCGGAGGCGCCTGGTGCGCCAGCGCGTTCTCCAACTCGTCCATGATCATGCCGCGCAGATTTTTGATCACGTCCTCCAGCGGCTTGGCGCCGAACACCTTGTAGCTTGTGTTGGGTTTGCCGGGCGTGGCAACCAAAACGATGGCCTGTTGGCCTACTCGCGTCGCAAACTCGTCAATTGTTTGCCGCAACTTTCTCAGCAATCTGTTCTGCTGCCGCTTTCTTATTGAAGGGTTCGTCTCGAAGCTGTGCGGTCGTTTTCGCTTTTTCGAAGATACTATCGCAGCTGCAGCTGCTACGCCTACAGGTCCCGCGGCGGCTAGTTGCGCGGTCACCTCGTCGCCCATGGCGGCCGCCATGAGGTCGGAGCCCTCCTCATAGACGGACCCCGGCGACGAGGGACAATTGTCGTCATCATCGTCCGAAGCAACAGACATTCCGCTTGGCGAGCCTACTACCATCGCGATCTGATCGGCGTTATTTTGATTGCCGTTAGACGAATTCATTATTTAAGTCCGTCACCCGTAACATGGAAGACGGCCTCCCTAAAACAATACATAAACACTTACTGAACGCTTCTCCAAAAGAGAATTTCAAATTTCACACAACTTTGAGTTAACAAAATACATCAGGATAACGTTTAATTTCATCATTGAATTGTCCCATTATGATACACAGACATACAGTATTGGCCATAATTATTGCAACAACTGTAAAAAAAATCTAACTCTAAAACGCCTTTATTAATCTTTATGAAATTTTGGATAGGAATACTTCAACTTATACCTCAGTAGAGAAAATATTTTTAAAACCCTTTTATTTAATAATGAAAAAACGTTCGAATTATAACTTTTAAGTAAATAAAAAATATGCTGTTAAAGACCGTATTTTTGTTAGTACCTATACCCTGAAAATGTTGTACAAATCAAACAAACGAACGAATATACAGCGATTCAAAGTCGTCAAAAATGACCACTTTTCAGCAAAATAATCAAAAAGGGGCCATTTTTACCGACTTTGAAGCGCTTAATCTTCGTTTGATTTGTACAAAATTATTACAATAACATATTAACATATTTTTTATTTACTTCAAAAAAATTCACCTATAAGTTATTTTTCGAACGTTTACATTATTTAATAAAAGGGCTTTAAAAAATTTTCTCGAAAAAACCTCGAACACGTAAACTGAGACATAAGTTGAAGTATTTTAATCCAACATTTCATAAAGATTAATAGGCGTTTTTTACAGTTGTTGCAATAATTATGGCCAATACTGTATACTTAAACATAATAATTAACCCTGGAATGCTACACTTATTTTCTGAACTAAATCTGCTACATTGGGGTACCTACCCCAAATAACATTTATTTAAAAACTAACAAAAACAACTTAAAGAAGAATCATAAACATGTTTTTTTTAAGAGAAATGTTTTACTATTATTCGGCTCAAGCTAGGCAAATTTTCTTGTAATGCTGCAAACAAATGAATTTTTACACAGTGCAGTCTAAGCTTCTGGGGCAAAATATGCATCTACCTTTAGGGCCTAGGTGCTAGTTTTTAATAGTTGATGCTCACTCTATTTTTCATTGAAGTGATGTTTTACAGGTGTACATAGGTAGCATTTCAGGGTTAAATATGCTTAAGCCATACAATTTAAAATGGATACTCAGCTGGAGTTTGAAACACTGTTGAAAATTAAAAATAAATCCCAATAATTATCAATCCATATATAATAATTGACTAACCTTAATAAGGGCCCCTTAAAACTTACACCTAAAACATAACGAATATACAAGTACAAAACATGATTGTTACCATGTTCGGTGTTAGTTTTAAGGGGCCCCTATTAGGGTAAGTCATTCTTATTTTATATATGAATTGGTAATGTGTAAAAGTAAGTATGATGACCCTTTAAGTAGATATTTACAAATGTTACCTTTCTCGAAAAAGTAAAAGAATGACTACCCCTTACATGGGACCCTCAGAATTTACAAACACTTATTTAAATTAGTACACATAAAGTATTTAAAAAAATGATCACAAAGGCCCCTTAAGTATCTTAACGATGGTATCAAATGTTACCTTAGCAATTCCTTTCTATCATTGTTATGCGAAATCTGATCAGGTTACAGGCAACACACTGTTGTTAGGTGTATAGAGGAGTTATTGTACACCACTTTGTATACTTATATAAAGCATAGGCACTGTGTATATAAACAAATGCACTTTTGAGGTTATGTTCGGTATAATAAAACAATAGTAATGATAGATGATGAGGTATTTTGATAAGTTGAATTGATTGGGAAGTACACACACTGAATTCGAATAGATAATTAACAATTTGCTTGTATTTGACTAGTAATTTCAATGTTTTAGTAGCAACTAGTGTATTGATATAGGGAATTTGTTTGAATATAGAATATATAAATGCTACAGTATAAAATCAATAATTGATGGTGTTTCCCCCTTACCCTTACGTAAAGATACGACTCGATACATTTTAAAGCGTAAATAGTGTGGACTGTAAATAGGTTTGTTGGCGGATTGAAAGACGCCGTTTCTTTTTGTAAATCATATTTTTTAACGCATGCACATCAACAAAAGAGCCTTTGCGCACAGCAAGGTGGTTTGGCGCGATACACCAACCATTGGATTCTCTATTACTATTGAGGAAAAGTAACATGGCTTCCCCAAATGGGCGATGCGTTATGAAATTCGGCCATCGGGGGTTTTATTGGGGGGGCTATTGGGCAAATGCCATGGGAAATAATCGGAAAATTTGTTTGAGTTGGTCGCGCGTTTACCAGGAATGGAGCCTGCCCAGTTAAAATTATTAGTACGGCTGCGTACGCACCTGCGTGTATGTTACACATTTAACAGAAAAACATGTCTGTTAGCGCAGTTTAACAACTAACGTGTTTTTTCGTGCACTAGTTACATTCACTAATTATAACAGATCATTTTAACACAGGTATATTATCGGCAAACACACTGACAGATAAAATTTACGTCACATTCTACGATATCGATCGATGTCAGTATCTCTTCTATGCCCGACATTATTTTGACTCACAGCCATATTACGCGAGCCTGCGCAAAAATCACCCACAATATTTTACTTATTTTCTACCTAATTTCTTCTACGTACCGAGTATCTTGGTCATTTTAAATTTCCATGTTGCACAGGTTATTTCCAGCGTTTTTTACTGCCACTTCCGCCCAACAACTTCACAAGCTTTGCAAAACTGGCGATAAAACTTCCTCAAAAACTGGCGCCATCTCTACATGCATTTTTACACCTCTTTTTGTTTGTATACATAAACGATTTCGACCGCCAAATTCAAACAATACCCTACATTTATACCAAAAACTAAAATACCTATTTAAAAAAATCATATACCACCTAACGAACATAATAATAAATACTACAATAACTATAAAAACTACAACAAAATCCCCACAATAAAGAAAAAAACAAAAGTTTACCTAGGTATTTACCTATTAATATAATAACCTTGAATTTTAAAAGCCATACATTAAAATAAACCCCATGTACACAATAACTCGTATCTTAATTATTTAACTAATTAAAACAATTTGTTAAGAAATTGGCCGTGATTTGTTTGGTTGCAACGTTGCCGGATTTCACTTCGGTCTTACTGTATTTCGGTGTAATTTCATTTCCAAAGGGCATGCAATGTTTTAAAATAAAAAAACGTATATTTTAATCCTTTATGCTCCATTTTTATACAAAAATCATATCAAAACCTGTGTTATTGACCACGTCTAAAATGACGTAAATGTAAATAGATGGCGCCACGTCATTATCTTTATTTTTTGACACATTTGACAGTTAATTGTCACTACAAAATGCAACATACTTGACATATAAACAAGGTATTTAAGTTATACAAAGAAAACCATTTAGTTAAGTTAAAATGGATCCTAACGATGAAATGTGCAAAAGTTTGCTGAAATGGCTTCAAGAAATCGTACCAAATAGGACTAGAAACGTCGCAGAAATATGTGACGGTGTTGCTATTGTTGAGGCTCTAATGCAAATATCTGCCGAGGATTTTTCTAAATTGGAAGGAAAAATAAAAAAAGATGTGGGGACCAACTGGAGGCTACGAGTAAGTAACTTGAAGAAAATAGTGGAGGCCATAATGGAGTACTACCAAGATGTTCTGTCACTGCAATTATTAGAAGTGGGTCGGCCTGATGTAAACAAGATTGGGGAATTCAATGACCAAGTTCAGTTGGGAAAACTGTTAAGATTGCTATTGGGGTGTGCAATAAATTGTTATAAAAAACAGGAATATATAACAAAAATAATGGAAATGGAGGAATTGGTCCAAAGAAACATAATGACAGCTATTCAGCAGCTTGAAGAAATATCGGTTGGACCTGGGAGGTCTGGTTTAAGCATGTTAATTTTGGATAGTGATCCTTTAAAAGTAGCCAAATTATCAGCCGAGTTGGAAGCAGTAAACGAGGCAAAAGATGTTTTAAGCCAACAGCTGCATCAGCTGGAGCAACAAATTCAAAGTTTGTCTGAAGAAAAAGAACATTTGCTGATGATGAATAAGAGTTTCAGCGAAAAGGAAATACGGGGAGCTGATGCTAGAAAGCAAATAGAATACTACAAGGAAGAATTGCTGAAAGCCGAAGTGCTGAATGATGATTTGAAAGCTAAAATAGGGGAACAAGAAAAACAGATGGTTGTTTTTCAGGAAAAAATCGCCGAGTTGCAAGTGGCTGCCAATGACTCTTCCAGGTTGAAAGATGAGGTGGATGCCTTGAATGAGTCAGCTGGTAAAATAGCCGATTTGGAATTGGCAGTGCAATCATATCAAAAAAGACTGGAGAACTATCAAGACATCAAAAGAAATGTACAAAAATTAGAGGAAAAAAATACAGAATACTTGCAAAGAAACCTTGAGTTGGAAGAGGAGCTCAATAAAAGTAATGGTTGGAGAAGTCAGTGTGATGCATACAAAAGCGAATTAGCGGAATTGCAACAAAAATTCGATGAAGAACTGCAAAAATCGGAAAAATTGCAATTCACCCATGATTCAATTAAATCAAAATTAAAAGCCCTGCAGGGTGAAAAAGAAAGGCTTATACTGGAAAGAGATGTACTAAGAGAAGAAAATGAAGAGTTGAAATTGGGAACAATTAAAAAGGAGAGCAGTGCTGCTGTTTCACAGGAACTCACCCCCACTGAAATGCGGGAAAAACTGAGATTTTTAGAGAAGGAAAACAAAAACCTCCGCAATCAAAGTCAAGATGGAGAGGCCAAGCAGGCTCAACTGGACAGCGCCTTGAGCAGAATTGAGCGCCTTCAACAGCAAAACAGGCAATTGAATCAGTCAGTATTAAAATTCGAGGCGCAGTTGGAAGAGATTAAAGGCGGCGCAAACGGACCTCCCCCGACTACAGCCGCCGCCGCCGACCAATCCGCTGCCACAGGCCCTGCTATCGTAAAGGAGTACAAGCAGAAAGTCGCTTTGCTGCAAGACTCGCTAAATGCCAAGGATAACGAGCTTCAAATGTTGCAAGCCAAACACAACAGATACGTGGAAAAAGCCAAGAGTATAGTGCAGCAGCATGACTCCATCAGACTTGAAGGCGGCGCTTTTAAAGAGCAAGAGGGCAAATTAATCAGCACTGCCTTCTATAATCTTGCCTTAACTTGCCAAAGAGAGGCAATTGACGAGAGGTTGGCTGTGCTCAGTGCAGCAGGGCAGGGGCAATCGTTTTTAGCCAGGCAGAGGCAAGCTACCCCAAGAAAAAATATCCAAAGATACAAATCCAAATAGACTCTCCCACCAACCAACTTGTTTTTAATTTTATTGGATGTTATTATGTATTAAATACATAGATTTTATTTATTTACACTTGCCTTGTATTTTTTAGTATTTAAATATAAATAGACATATGTATGTAAAAAATATATAAAATTTGTTTTATTTACTTGCCATTTAATACTTAATAGCAACTGATTACTAATTCAAAATTTAACCCTTGTAATTGGTTTCTTCCAGGTTCATGCCGCGATGAACTACCTGTTCAGGTGGGTGGTTCCGTGACTCCGGCAGGTGGGGTGGCAATTCACTTTGCGCTTTTAAACTCTTAGATTAGGCTTTAAATGCACTGTATTTGTTTATAGTTCAGAGCGGAGAAACTATTACGACTCGACCGTAGAAGTGTTGATTTGGTACTGATAAAAAAATAAATAGAATAAGTATAACAAAATATATAAATTTATTAATGAGTAACTAACATTTCATATTGCCTACATATATATAAAATCATTTTATATGTACAGTAAAAACCAAATCTAATGCCAAAGTAATAATAAGTAAATAATAATAGTAATTATTTTGTCACCCTGGAGTGCTTAATTACTTTCTATAGAAAACGATCTTTATAAAAAGCAATAAACCAATCAGAGCACAGCATTCTCTCTTCTGTGATGAAGAAATCTGTGTTAGGTAAAGTAGCAAATTTCAAGAAACAGATTTCCAAAAATAACTTTTTTAAATTTAGTATATTTGTGTTTATTTATTCATCCCAGTCTTCATCCTCTGTGTTGTTGGAATCAGTTACATCGTTTTTACTTGGAGGTGGAATCATAGCGGAAATTTTTCCAAGGGCAGTATTACCATCCAGCAAACCACTTCCACCTCCTTCATTTTCAGCTTTTTTACTTCCTGATATACCCTTCCTTCTCATGGAAAGTTTGGCGTGAAGATCAGCCATCAAATCCCCACTCTAAAAAATTAATTAGATTAGGTTTGCAATATATAGGTTACAGTGAACTTACTGGAGCTTTGGTGGTGCTTGTTGGAGCTGCATCTTCATTGATTGTTTTTAATTTGGCTTTTTTGGAACCCCCTGCATTTCGAATAGCCTCCATTAAACTTGCTCTCATATCCATACCAGCAAAGTCTTTTTTCTCTGGCTGTTGTACTTGTGGTGGAGATGGAATAACTTTTTCTTGAATTTTAATTTCTTTTTTTTCTTCTTCTTGTACTAGTGGTGGGGGAGGCGGAGGTGGAGGTGGAGGCGAGGGTGGTGTTATTAGTTGAGAAGTTACCACTACAGGTAACGGTGCTGGAGGAATTATATCAGTTGCTGTATCCACCTCTGTTACAGTTGTAACAACTTTATTTATTTGGAGTTTTTCAATGGGAGGTAACTCCAATAGAGTATTGGCTGATGGAGCAATGGTTGAAGCTGCTCCACTATCACCATCATACCTTAAATCATCAGCTATTCCAGGTAGATCAGGCAAATCGAGTGGTACATTTAATTCAGGAACATCTCCTATCTTAGGGGAGTAAAAGAACGACTTTACATTTGATTTATTAACTACACTTCCTTCCCTGATTGAATAAGGTGCTACTCCAATATCTGATATGTCCACAGTGTTGTCATGTTTTATGTTCTGTGGTCCTTTTAAAACATCCATCATTTCAAACTTATTGTACAAGTTTTTTCCAGAGTTATACAGCAATAAATCATTTACAAAGTCAATATCAGCAGGCATATTGCCCAATCCTTCACATTTGTTGTTGTTTTTTGATTGTTTTTTATTTTGATATGAGCTTAATTTATTGATTGGATCAAACACAGGGAGATAGTTTTTTTGCTTAACTTTATGCCTTTTAATTTCAAGTACTGTTTTACATGGAAATAAAGAAGTGTAGTCACGATTAACTTCATTTGCTGGATATTTGCTGCTCGAAAACACTTGGGTTGCCTTTTTAACACTCTTTAAGTTGTTAATTTTCGTTTGAACAACTTCCACTCTTTTTGTTACATCTTTTAACTTGGATTTATTCTTATCCAAGCGCTCATTAATTTTACTAAACAAATCTTCACTTACTGTGTTCAAATGATCCAATAATTCTGCTATTTGGACGATGGCATCGTTTTTTGTTAAATTCCTTGAAACTATCGGTACAATGTACGTTTCGCTCATTATTATTTACTAAATATACTCAACATATAACGAGATTTAAACAATATTTAACAACATAACCTAAAAAAATATTTTGACGTTTAGGAGCAACCCAAAGAACACCAACCTAAATGTCTGAATCCAAGGACGTCATCAGTATTCAAACTTGCAAAAAAAATAATCGTACGTGAAACCAAAAATCATCGTACCAGAGACAACACATTTAAATCGTACGGTTCACAACATATCAGAATGTTATACTCCTTGCACATACCAAGGATAATAAAAAATGAAATTAAATTATAAATAATAATTTATTAATTTATAAAACTGTACAAAAATATTATAATACTTATAGTTTAATTATGGCTGCTTTGAGACCAATAATCCACAAACTGATAAATCCTAAATGCCTCCATTTTTCATAAATACCTATTTCCTTGGTATTTTCATCTAATAATATACCAAGGAAAACTAGGTGTAATACTGTGAGTAAAGAAAATATAAATAAAATAAACCTGCACACCAATGAGTCGCGTTTGTGTAGATGTTGACATTGTTTACAAGGATAATTTTTTAAACAAATATTAAAAGCGTTTAATAAAAATTCTCTTAGCTCGATTTGTATGTAGGAAAAAAGGCCTAATAATACTAAAACCACAGAAACGTGAAGAGCAAAGCCATGTAAAAATGACGACATTAAAAATGTAACAAATATTGCGTAAAAACGTCCGTACTTAAGATTAGGTTTGTACACATATTTTTTCAGAAATTCATGCATAGGAATATTCCAATTGGTTACAACAGTGGCTAAAGCTGAGGGAAATTCAATTGGCCAAGGGTTTACCACAGTGTAGTGCCATTTAGAGGAGTCCTGCCATATTTTTGAGCCCTTAAAGCCAGCTGAAATCATTGAACTCTCTGCTAAGTAGCTTATAAAATAATGACTAGTTCTGACTGAAAATGCTTCTCGGTAGGCTACAAGCCACCTGTTTGAGTCTTCAGAGATAAAATACATTGCCCAACAGTTTGAAAGGCTCAGGAATAATAACGAGAGTACCAAAGCTCGAAGTATTCCAAGTATCCATCTAAAAGACTATATACTTCATTAACATTAACTCCACAAAACATTTTGTACACACTTTTTTGGTATTGTTGAAATATAATTTTTGGTAATCTTGGTATGATATCCATGGACCAAAAAGTATGTTGGCTCCACAAAAAATATATCCAAAATATGCCAACAAATTTGGGGGTTTTAAATTTGTTTTAGAGTCCAGTAATGATATTAATTTCATAGAAAATACCATCAGTAAACCTCTTATTTGCATCCATATCTCACTTTTAATCAAGAAGTATTCACTAAAAAAAAACTTACTGCTTGTATCTATAGATGTATACACATTTGAATACAAATATTTTAGATTATCTATTTGTCACCTTAACGCTAATTTCGTCTTGAAAATAATACAATGTGTATAAACATCTCAAAATTAATGTTACAATAACAGATAAATAACGTCAAAAGGGGTTGGAGCATAGTACAATGATAAAATAGGTACTGTATTTACCATAAAATTAAGAGACATATGTATAAAACTTTTAAAACAAGTAAACTTTTCTCTAAAATCTTTGTTCCTTTAAATGCATTTATAAAAAGCAATATCGGATAAAATATTAAAACAAATCCAATAAACAAAAATGTACTTTCAATTGATTCCAAAGTAAACAATAAATATATTCCTGTTGAACCAAATAGTAAATGATACAGCCACTCTGGAATATTTCCTAAAAAATAATGTCGTTTTTTGTGCTAGATTTTGAAATAACTTAGGTACCTAACGAGGTTATAAATGCAAAACAAATATTGAGTCCTATAAGTTTACAAATTAAGCTGAATATACTTGTAAATGATAAAACAATACAGTTATCCCATACATCATATACATTTTCTTCATATATTTCCTCATCAACTGGATAATAATAATCTAAAAAACTAATACAAAAACAATTGTATTTTAACTATTTTTTCATACTTACTCTTCATTAAAAGATGACATTGTTTGTCCTTAACTAATTAAATAAAATAAAAGTAATTCACAGTTTTTCACATTACATTATTATTTATAAATAAAAAAAAAGTAAGAAAAGAATAACCCAAAATTAAAATTTATTTTCTTCATGTTGGTATGATGCATAGATAAGTCAAGAAGACATACTACAGGAGCATGCTACAAAGAATACAGAATAACATTCTTTATCTCTGATAACATGCATGCATGCATAACAACATGGGGCACGTCAAAAAATGTTCGTACGTTTTACGGTGCATCTGTATGTTACTAATAGTAAGTTACTGTTCAAGCACACACTCTGTAGTCCCGCTATTTGGTGTTATAGACATGTTAGAAAACTGAACCGAAATGTCATTGTCATAACCTCGAAGCAACAAGTTTGTTTTTGTGTTCTGTTAAAATGGAATGATGGATTATTCTGCGTTGGGTTATAGGCGTTATATATGATATAATGACGATAATAAAAAGCTTAGAATAACATTTTACGGGTAAAATATTCCTTCGCAAGTAACATAACCTTTCACAGGGAAAAAACTATTGTAATAATTTTAGGTAATAAATCTATTTATTTTAGTCGGTATTTGTTAAGCCAGTCCCTAAATTAACAAACATGCGGTCTCTCATTCAGAATTACCTAATTTATAATTAAATTATGCATAAAGCCGAGTTCATATAGATGCGAATTTGCGAAATACGAATATTCGCATTTCGCCAAATCAAATGGACCAATGAAAACATTTTCGCAAATTCGCATGTCGCATCTATATGAACCAGGCTTAAGCCTTGTGGTCCAGCGTTACTCCTCTTCTTGGATACAGTATGTCAAGACAGTGCTACCAATAACAAGTTTAAATTCAAATTCAGGGTTTTTCTGGTCTTTGTAAATTTCACAAAAGTAAACATTTTAATATTCTTGATTAGTTTTTGGGCAATTTATTAAAAATAGAATTGGGTTAATTTTTTTAATCTATAATTTATTTAAAACATATTCCTGTATCTTTTTTTGTAATATATTATAATGTGTAAATCGGCATCAATAATTTGTAATTATAATTATAAGAATAACTATAGCTATTATAATAATAAGAATAGCTATAGCTATTCTTTAATTAAATTGATTAAATAAATAAAAACATAACCCAACTAATAATTTTGACGTTTACATACTTGTCAGTTCAGAGTTCGATTTTGTCACCGGTGAGAAGCGCATCGCTCCTGCATTGCTCCATGAAAAAGTATGAAAAATAGTTGACTTTGACTCAGGGAAGACAGAATCGGATTCCAGTGCTAGATAATATTCCTCGTTTTGTCCTTTTTTTAAAAGGAATAGAGGAATTTATATAAAGCTATTATAAATTTTAAGGTTACATAACCTATTTGTGTCGTCCACGTGTTTAATAGACAACCGTTGTCCAATGGTTTTTGGGTCTTCTGGAACCATTGGACGTTAAAACTTGTATCTGGTTAATAAGGATTTTTGTCCAGGACCACAAGGGCGGTGGTTAATCCATAAATCCGCCCTAAGTTGAAGAAGAAGAAGATACTTGTCAGTGCTACCCATATACTTACCACAAGGTAAGTATATGGTGCTACCAAATTAATTAAAACCCTATATATATATGCAATGCGTGTAAGTTTAAATGTTAGTGGGTTGCCTACATTAAAAAATGTAGCAATGATAATTGGTGTGGTGTCGGTCGGTTGAGCAGAGGTGGTGAGGTGGAGGAGGAGAAGGCGGTGTAGAGACGGACGAATAGAAGACAGTGGCAGGCAGTGTGTGTCGGTCGGGCAGAGACAGTAACGGGAGCGTATGAGGTGTATGGTCGGTGTGTATGACAGCAAGCAAGCAGAGTCGTGAGGCGCGAGATCTTACGACGGAGCGCGGAAACACCAACACACAACCAGCAAAGCAAAGCAACGGTCTAGTCGTTTAAGTAGTTAATGCAGTGCAGTGTTGTTTTCCGTCGAAATTTGGTGACAGTGGTTGGGTGGTAGTGCCTTGATAAGATGGCAGTCAACCAGGACGAGGCCAAGCCAGTGCTCAGAGTGGACCAGGACTCAGAAACCGATCTCCAAGCGCTGTTCGACAGCGTACTCAAACCGGACTGCAAACGACCATTGCAAGTGCCATGGAGTATGCGAAAGTTGCCCGATTCCTTCTTCAACCCCCCGTCCACGGGCTCCAAGAGCATTAACCACTCGCGCGATAACTCCGTGGACTCTGCCTTTGGCGGCCAAAGCGGCGGCGGCAGCGGCACCGCGGGCGGTACCGCGACAGCCGCCCCAGCTAATGCCGTACCGTTACAAACGGCTCACCACAGGGCACACAGTTCTCCGGCCTCTTTGCAACAGACGTACGCTGTCGGACAGCAACAGCCTGCCCCTGCTCACCACCACATCAAACAAAGATCATACGACGTAGCCAGCAAAAACGATGACGATACCCCATTGCCCCACGGATGGGAACAGGCCCGCACCGCCGAAGGACAGGTGTATTATTTAAAGTAAGTAAATAAACCACAGGTTCCCTTCTTCTCTCTCTCGTCTCTTCTCGTCTCGTCTTTTCACTTGACTCCAAAGACCATGCAGGTCCGGCCTCGAACCATTATCTCTACTATCAACCTAGACAAATATTTACCTTTATACACACATTCAACAAGTGCTTTTTTCTCACAAAAATTACTGCGAAACTAAATTTACACTATTATTATTATTATTTACCTTTGGATAACTGTTAATCTATTAAATACACCTTAACTTTAAGTACCTAATTGCAAACAAAAAACATTAGGATAGCTCAGCGGGCAAGCTTTCTTCAAGGATCCATAATCCGGGGCCAAAAACAAAAATAAATTAAAAGTCTAATGCCGAACTAGGCAAAAAAAACTACTTCCGAATACCACATAATTAGCGTATTACCAAGGATTTGTGAATTTTTGCCTTAATAGGTTCTCAATTGGTTTTAGTTTTAGGGAATTTTAGAATGGTATAAAGTGTTCCTAAACTCTAAATATGTACCTACCAAAGTCGGTTTCTTTCTCAAGACATAGGAACATTAGGTACAGTTTTAGGAAAAAATCACCAAAAGAGTAAAAAAAGACGTTGGGTTTTGAAAGATTTTTTAAGAAACTGTTAATTGCCTTAAAAAATCACAGTGTTAAAGCCAATTTACACGAGGCCGTCTTGCACAATATAAGCAGTGCCAAACAAGCGAGTTTGTCAAAATATTAAAATGAAGTAAACAAAACAAAATTATACAAGGTTTAGAGTTTTAAATATAATATTTTTAAATGTATATAAATATTTTTAAGGGTATAAGAACACACATCATTAAGGATAGAACACGTTCTAGTTATTTCGTCATGCATGCCTCGACGCATGCGTACATTTAAAAACTTGCATTGCATGAGAATTGCGTCGTGTAATGTCACATTACTGGCTTTAGCTTTTACAAAAAAAACAGACGATTTGTAAAATTCTCTTAAAAGTTATAGGTCATCTTTTATTTGTTTTGTGGCAAAAAGTTAAAAATCCTTGTTAATCAAATAAAAATACTCTTAAATAAACAAAACTATTAGTTTACCACTTAAACCATGATTTTTCAAAAACACTTTTTCTTCTTAAACGGTAAATTTAACAAAATAATGCTTTAAGGTAGTACCTATTTCGATTTGAAGCGTTTGATAAATAAATAACAGTAGGTCGTTACAGCAAATTTAGCGGTGCAAATGTAGTAAAAAGTAAAACAAAAATTCGTTTCCAAACCCAAAAAACAAAATAGGATCATGTGGATAGCTTAAAAATTGATTATTTAGTTTATTTTTTTATGTAAATTTCATGACCGAGCTCGTGACATACATAATAAAAAAAGGCGTATGAAAACAAAGATAACTCTGTGCTGTAAAAATTAAAATTGGCTTTGTGTTCGTCGTAGATAGTATAGTATGCAACTTGTTTTTATTAAACACTCGCTCGCAAAATATACATGTATATTTTGTGTTTATTTTGTAACTGCAGTTATAGAAGAGTATTAAAGCAATTTATATTAATATATATATAGTATGTATATTTACATTTTTAAGATATCTACAAACATATTCAACAAGTGTCAACCCAAGTCAAGCGGTTAATTCAAATACCTAAATTTATTAGCCCTGGGTACGTTGTATCACACTTTACCCTGGTCTCGTATAACCAGAAATGTTTTGAAAGAAAAATATTTTAAAATTGAATACGGATCTGGATTCTAAGAAACGAAATAATGGAGTACCTTTTTCTATAGCACTACCTGCAGAACCATTTTACCTGGATATATTGGCTTTTACATGCATGTGTATAGTGGTTCTTTAGCTTTCTATCAATGACATTTATGCATATAGTAATTACAAGACGAATATCGTCATAACATGGATTAAAATTAACAACTTAAGGGACCGTTTACATATTATATTATCATATTATATCGCGTGACGTAATATGTGAACGGCCCCTAAGACAGACAAAGGGATAAATGTTGCAATTCATAGCATATCAAGATGCGATATTCTTAATATTCCTATTAAAAATTAATTATATTTGAATTGAAAAAGAGAAACTTGGCTAGAAAATTTAATGGTACTCTAATTACTAATTACGGCGTGTTGCATAATGAATGCAACTGACGATTTTTATTATTGTTCAAATGTTAAATCCCTTGTGAAAAATCAGAACATTGTTTATTGATTTTTGAACTTGTTGATCTATTTTGTGCATATCTTATTTATTACCTTACAAACTAAATGGAAAGTTCATATTAAATAATCATTAGCTTATTGTGAAATATATAAGGGAAAGCATTATTTTTATAATCCCGCTGGCGCCATGTTTAAATACAATACTGTACTCAGAATGCTATATTTAAATTGAGTGATTTCAAATATATCTATTTTTATAAACTCAACAACCTATTAATATATTCACTGTTTTTTCTCTTACTTACATCAATACGTTTTTATATTAAGCAATAAATTCGCTAAACATATTTAAACCCAAACTTTTGCACAAAAAATAGTTAAAAAGTTAAAACATACCAGGAGTAGGTATATTTCTTTTTTAAATTCTCCACCTTCACGCCTTTTTACAATCTGTAAAAATGTTGGGAAAAAATTGACCTATCATTTTTTTGCTTAACCCTAAGTTTAATATAAATTGTGGAGGACAACACCCCCTAAATTTTTTCTTGACAAAACTTTTTTCCAAAACACAGTTTTCGACAAAAACTTTTTGAGTTTTTACCAAAAAAACCTGGTGGTATTATTTTTTTATTAACATGACCGTCTATAGTGATAAAATAGCAACATAAATAGTTATAAATTGCTCGCTATGTTTTTTTGTTTTCGGTTGTTTACCGGTGGAAACTCTAACCTAAAATTCACAACATGGGGATACTTTTTTAATTTTAAGCAAATAAAAATGTGTGAAATCACATGAAAAAAATGCGACGGTCATGTTAAAAATTTGTTTATTTTTTATTTAAAACCCTTCTAAGTTTTATTTTTATGCGCATAAAGCACTTTCTTCATCATTTTGGCATATTTGACCAAAATACCTAAAAGAAAAAAGTCAGTTAAACCAAATCCGAACAATTTTTTTTTCAAAATTAAATCAGAATCTTAAAAGAAACTGAAATAACTCCGAAACGGTCCATCGTATGAAAAAAAGTTGATATGAAATTTGTAGGTGTTTACCAAAAAAACGTCGTGGTATTTATTTCCTTTATTAACATGACCGTCTATAGTGATAAAATAGCAACATAAATAGTTATAAATTGCTCGCTATGTTTTTTTTGTTGTCTGTTGTTTACCGGTGGAAACTCTAACCTAAAATTCACAACATGGGGATACTTTTTTAATTTTAAGCAAATAAAAATGTGTGAAATCACATGAAAAAAAGTATGCGACGGTCATGTTAAAAATTTGTTTATTTTTTATTTAAAACCCTTCTAAGTTTTATTTTTGTGCGCATAAAGCACTTTCTTCATCATTTTGGCATATTTGACTAAAATACCTAAAAGAAAAAAGTCAGTTAAACTAAATCCGAACAATTTTTTTTTCAAAATTAAATCAGAATCTTAAAAGAAACTGAAATAACTCCGAAACGGTCCATCGTATGAAAAAAAAGTTGATATGAAATTTGTAGGTGTTTACCAAAAAAACGTCGTGGTATTTATTTTCTTTATTAACATGACCGTCTATAGTGATAAAATAGCAACATAAATAGTTATAAATTGCTCGCTATGTTTTTTTTGTTGTCGGTTGTTTACCGGTGAAAACTCTAACCTAAAATTCACAACATGGGGATACTTTTTTAATTTTAAGCAAATAAAAATGTGTGCAATCACATGAAAAAAAGTATGCGACGGTCATGTTAAAAATTTGTTTATTTTTTATTTAAAACCCTTCTAAGTTTTATTTTTATGCGCATAAAGCACTTTCTTCATCATTTTGGCATATTTGACCAAAATACAGGTATTTTGGTCAAATATGCCAAAATGATGAAGAAAGTGCTTTAGGTCTAAAAGAAAAAAGTCAGTTAAACTAAATCCGAACAATTTTTTTTTCAAAATTAAATCAGAATCTTAAAAGATACTGAAATATCTCCGAAACGGTCCATCGTAGGAAAAAAAGTTGATATGAAATTTGTAGGTGTTTTCGATATAAACTACTTTTTTATTTACAGTTTTGCGCGTCATTTTACGTAACATATCATGCCTTTTGGTCGGGAGTTAATCCTCCTCCTTTATTTAGTCTTCTTGCTGCAAAATTGTCAACACAATTTGCAAAAGTCATAAAGCATGCAATCCATAACATTTTGTGCCAACCTGTATAAAACCCCAGAAGTGGCATATAATTTTAGGCTAAACCTTGACATTTGCGATATTTCATTATCGGATTCATAATTTCCTAGTTAATGAGACTCTTTCCGCGGATATACCACATTTTAATTCATCTAAAAAAACACGACTAAAAAGTATAAAATTCGGGCTTATTAAATTGAAACACTTGTTTATTTAATTGCTTGCTGTGAAATATACAAATAAGGTGCCATAGTCGACATGAATATCCGTTCGAAAGGAAGTGTTAAATCTATAAACAATCATATCCGTTTAATTCAAATTAGTACACATTTCAATTTAATTAATTTTGATTTTTGCTATCGCGACTTTTACTCATCATTAAAGTACTATCTTATCTATTATTAATATGCGTATTATTTGCAATGAACGGATGTGTACACCTGGGGACTTTTGTTTTTAGTCTTTATTAAATTATTTTTTTCTTTTATCATTATCTTTATATCTTAAAAACCAAGCAAATAACTTGCTTGAAATATAATTTTCTGTAATAAAACTTTTCAGTTTAGTTGTTTTGTTAGGGGTGAAATTTTTCCATTTCGTTACACGCGATGTGAAAGAATTTCTGAGTCAGGCATTTTGTTTGTATTGTATGCCTACCTAGAAAGGCGA